AGTTATATTACTAAAACGTTGACTTATGTAGAAAATAGTTTGACCTTTGTCTTTAAAATATTTATAATCTCTTCCAGTATAGCATTGGTTACCATGACAAACTCTATCGGATGTTTTAAACAGACGTTGCCCCTGACATAATCTATAATTTTTACCATCCTTTCGTGCATACATCAAATTATTCCGGTTCTTTAAACCTTGATAAAACGTAAATACGTCTGTTGATTAATAAAAAAACATAATAAAAGAAATAATTAAATTAATCAATTTATTGTTTTTTTACATGGTTTTGATGGTTCAAAACAGGCAATTTGATAAGTTGTCCTAATAGACTCTCCAAATTTACATGAAGATAACTTTATTCTATAGAATATGATATGAAAATTATAACAAAGATATAGATAAAACTTGAACAGAACACAAAATTCAAATATTTACATTTTACATCCATTTTTATCGCATTTGCTATAAGCTATATGTTTTTCTTTTGGAGAGAAATTCAAAATTTATATTCAATCGGTTTGAACGGAAGAAAATTTATTCAAAATTCAATTCTTACTGTAATAACTAACTACTGTATAAATATTTGCGTTTAGACTATCTTTATGCCAATCCGTACATAGATCATAATAGAAATATCTATTATAAATGAAATGACTAAGATCGTAAATAAGATAATACGATTCATCATCAATTTGAATAGTTGGAAAATAGATGCCAAATTCAGATTTATCCCTATATCCTGCAAATTTTATATACTTTCCATTCAATTCAAATGATTTACTAGATAAAAGAGGTAGATTGTCAATTGGTATTGAAAAAATAGAAGAAAAGAATTCAACTTGTATTGTCTTTCGTTACATTCTTGACAATTGTTCATTTCCAATACATTGGCAATTAATAATAAAATAATAATTATCATCCCTATAGATAAGGAACTATTGAAAATATTCCAAAAATTTCTCTTTGTTTGAATGATTTGAATGAAAATATGACCAAAAAAAAAAATTTCATATATTTTTAATTTATTAAAACAAAATGGCGCAAACATTAAAATAATTCGAATATTTTTAAGTGTCTTTCTTCTTAATTAAACGTTGAATATATAAATTACTAGAAATGATATACAATGAATAATCGTTAAAAATTCAATCTTCTTCATTAATTAGACATTCCGTTCTATTGATTACTTCGGAAAATAGTCGTATACACTCTTAGTTTTTTTAGTTAATTTATAAGGTTTCAATCTCTGCCTACAGAGATATTTCAATTAAACTTTTACTCGAAACTTAAAATATAGTAGCCGGTGTTTATTGGCTTCAGAGAGAGAGAGAGAGATATTAAAGAGTAAACCCTTGTAATACAACCATACCAAACTCTTCTCCTCTATGTAAAGGTCTATAGACTACCTCTTTATTCTACATAGGCTAAATAGGTAAAAAAAAAAGAGGCTTTAACAGAATATCTTTCAACAGTTACTGTTGAGTCAACGTTTAAATAGTACTTTTCAATGAATTTGAAAAGTTTTCTTTCCAAGAACGACTTTATTAAACGAACGATGTAAATAAGTATTCTTTTTCAGAATTGGTAGACTTCCGGTTATTTGACACCATTATAATACTGTATGTAGTACTATTAATAAACTCAAGGATTAATTAGTATATATATATATAGCTTTCGGTGTTCCATTTTAAAACCAAGCCCTGATATCCTAATCTGTTTACATAAAAAGAAGGCAGTAAGATAAGGTTAACAAAAATAACCCAAAATTAAGCCTAGCAATGGAATTAAGAACGAATTTAAACGTATAATAAAAGAAAAATGTTTCGTTGAATAGAATCTATACAAAAGTTTCTTTTCGCAACTAAGATTCTCTAAAGAGAGGGAGGCTATTATTATATTCAACAATCAACAGAATAACACAATAGGCCTAGATCTAAATTATATCCAAATATATATACTGTTTATATATACTGTATAATCGCTAAAATTCCATAAATATTTTTTTTTCAAATACTTACTCTCTCTCTCTCTCTCTCTCCCTTTCTCATTCTCTCCTTCTCTCTCTCTCTCTCTCTCTCTTTAAAAAGAAGTATAAAGTTAAAAAATAAACTTTTTGCTCTATTTCTATAAATATTTTAAATAAATTTACTTGACCTGAAAAGAGAAATAAAAAAAAGAAAGAAGAATCACCACAAAGTATACAAATCAGAAAAAAAACACTCTTGACACTCTTAATTAAATAGAGAAAGAAAAGTAGTTGATAGTATAGGTGGCGTTGGTGTTGTTTTCTATTTTTTTCTCACTTTTTTTTCCATTTCTACCTTGTTATAATAAATAGCAAAAGTCTGGTTTTTAAATAGGAATATTTCGCAATTAATGAAAGATATTCGCTATGGATAGTTTAAAGGAATTGGTATTTAAATATCTATTAAAAAACTATCATATTCTATTAAGAGAGAAGAAATGTACTTTAAATTCAATACTGGAGGAATTAATTGAACGTTTGGATGATTATTTCTATGGAATACCTGAAGATTTATTCAAATTTCTTAAAAATGGTCAAAACTCTATTAAAAGGATAAATATACACGGAAATCGAATTACTAATCCTCAAACTTTATCGTTTCTAAAGGATTATCAATTAAATAGTGTGATTATTACTCAAATGAATGTAATTTCGTTAAGCAATTGGATTGAATACTTGAATATTGATTACTTGGAAGAGTTATCATTAAAGAAATGTAAAATATATAAGAATATACCAAATAATATTGAAATATTCTTTAAAACTGCACCAAAGAGATTTAACGATTTCGCTAATATAGAAAATGAAATTGGTCATATTTTTCCGTTATTCACCAATTTAAAATCATTGAATTTATCATCAACTGCAATAGATAATGAATTTTTATATTTTATATCAAATAATATAGAAACTATCGAAGATTTAAACATTTCAAATACTTTAATAACCAATTTAACACCAATTGAAAATATGAGAAGATTAAAAATATTGGATTGTTCGTCTTGTTTAAATTCATCTATACAACAAACATATTCAATTCTCTTGAAGATGAAAGATCTTATCTGGATTGATTTATCGTTAAATTTTAAAGAAATTCATAATTATCAAATTATTGAAGATTTATTAACGAATGGCAATTGGCAATCTATAAAAACTATCTTACTAGGTCGTCTTCAAAACTTGTCTGTAGATATTTTAAGGTTGTAGACTATAGGCTTGGAATAGAATAAATATGATATATATTACGGTCAATGACCTTTATCAACTCATTTCTTTTTATTGTTTCCAGAGAATTTCTCTCCAGACACAATGGTATAGAAACTTTTGTCGTTAACATTGAAAATGGACAGTTTGTTAGCGATGACAAGCATACGTTTATTAATTTATCAACACAAAACTATCAGGTACTTTTAAACAACAATATCGTTTATATAGGATAAATATTTTAATATGCAAATTAGATTGAAGAAAATAGCGAAGACAAGGTGAATAACCTTTTAAAGATCTACTATAAGTCGGTGAAAAATAAGGAATATATCCATCGTTTAATCGAATATTGGGGTTCAACTTTTGATAGAATTCTTCTAAACACCAATGAAATAGACGTAATAAACGTAAGCCTATAAAAAAAATTAAATGTTCAATTCAGTTGAACGATGAATAATATTTCCTCTCTCTTCTCTTCTTTTTAAGATATTTATCGATTATATCGAAGATTTTAAATATAACGAATTGAATTGTCAAAAGAATATCAACACTTTTTGGGAAATTTTAAAGATTCTTTATTCAATTCCAATTAATTGTTTAACATTTGAAATTCAATGTAAAATTTTCACTTTTTGCTATAAATTCTTTATAGAGATGAAAGGAAATTTTCAAAAATATCCATCTTTTCAACTTTTATTGTTTATCTTAAAGAAATATCAAAAATGCGATTATTTGGTTAAAGATAAATTCTATTTAACAATTGGATTATTTGAAGTTTTACTTTGGAAAGGTGAAAATTGCCAACAAAAAGCCATTGAGATACTTGAAGAAATCTTAAGAAACTATTACATATTAAAGGTAAAAGATCTATTCTAGGGAATAAGATATTCCTTTACTTAATCCTTATTTAACAGTTGCCAGAGAATTTTGAAAAGGAAGATGTTAATCTTGAACAAACACGCTTCAATTTTGAAGAGAGAGAAAATATTGGATATCAAAAGAAAACAAAGAAGAAGAAGAGTAAACGGTTTAGAAGTATTTTTTCATTAAGTAAATAAATGTATCAAAAGACAAACTCTGCAAGAGTTTACGGTCCACGGGCTGTTAATTCCATTTATAATTACTACTACTACTACTAATACCATTGACTGAAGGTTTCTATTTATCTGTTTTTAATAACAAAACTATTTTGAATACATGACTATTTAATTCACTTTTGCGTTACTAAAGATAAAACTCGGGATCTTTAATGAGAAAAAAGATGACTCCTACTATAGAGATCTTTTTGTTCTCTTCTTTGTACCTGAAACAATACTTATAACAAACGCTCTGATGTTTAATGCATCGATAGAAGCTTCTCGAAAGGGAGCGAAACTCACTTCATCAGCAAACGTCAAAGAAGATAATAAAGATCGAAACGAGTCTATTATGCTTATATTAATTTCAACCTACTATGCATTATGTTCAATACCAAATGCGATGCTATTTATATATACTTAAGATATAATTTACCAAATCCAACAATGGAGTATGCTAGTTTTTTAAAGAGAATGGCTCTACTCGCAGAACATTTCCTCAAAACGAATGAGTAACGATAGTTTGTCACAAAACAGTTTGTCTAGCTAATTACGTTTGAATGATTCGTACCCAGGAAATTGTAATTACAAACTAATATAAATAGATACGTCATAACTTATTAAAGATAATTTCTGCACTAATACAAACGAAATTTGTTCCTTTGAATATTAGTTTTGTGAGTTGAGTACAGATAGATAGTTTCTTTAAGATACTCTATAGAATCACCGATTGAATTCTATCAATTTAGAGACAAAGTGATTCAAAACTAAAAAAGAATTCAAATTTTCAAGGTTAACTATTTTAATGTTAATCTTATTGAATAGGATAAAAATACGAAACTGGAATTATTAAAACTGCTTGTGATTTACTGCAATAAAAAGTTTAACATTTCGTATTCAATTGACAAACAAAGGATACTAAATATAAAATCATTGTATTGAACACTTGTAAGACAATTAATGACAGTTGATTTTGAACTTTTTCAGTTTTTTATTTATATCGAAAAAGTATTGTGATTTGTTACTAATCGATTGTTAGCACTTGTTTTTAAATGAAAAATGATAAAGTCTAAAGAAATTCGTCATTCGCTTCTATTCTCTTGGTTTAGGACAATGAAAAGTTATATTTTCATTATACTGATACTTCGTCTTAAATTATTTAATACAAAGATGTATAGATCGTGTATTCATGCTTTATTAGATAATGGGAATAGTACAGGAGTTTACGAAATTCAACCATTTAATTATGGAAATTACGCTAATATTTCGTGTTCTTTAATTGAAGAGAATGTTGTTTTAACTGAACTTGCGACTAATTCAAATCCGAATGAAGCTATTTTTAGTTCAGAGATAGGTAAAAGCGTTAAAAAGAATTTCTCATATCCAAACTTGAATGAAACCGAAGTAATAGAATTAATGAAATATGGCGGAATTTGCTCTCAAAGTATGTATTTCTATGGTATTGGAATAAATCAAGCTAGCCTTCATTTTAAATTCTCTGATGGAACTGTTTATCTGATGAATAAGCCTCGCGATGGCATATGTAAATGTATAATAGCCGAAAATTGTTCCAGTAAAAAGAAGACTAGACGATGTATTGTAAAATATATCAACACAACTATTCCCATGATAAATATGACTGGAGAGTTAGCTGTCTCTTCCAAAAGATTACCTCTTACCAACGTAGAGTACGAAGATGTAGACGTTACTGGAAGATATATTTTCCATCATGTTAAACCACTTAGCTGCAAAGCTCCACTGAAAAGAAATTTTAAATCGATATTCAACTCACAGTGCAATCCAGATTATAATCTTTTGGAAGATAAGGATAAAGATACTTGTATTAAATTTTCCAATTCATTTGCATATTTGGAAATGTCATATAGTCAAGTGATTAATATTTATTCGCCAACAATTGAAAATTTAAGTATAAAAGTGTATACAAAGCTGAAAAGTGGTCGTTTAGCAGTTTGTTTATTAAGTAAAGATAATACTTTTATATGTTTTGCAAAAGCAAGTGGCATATATATGCATATTCTAAATGTTAAAGAACAAGATGTGATTATATGCGAAATCTCTTCATCAGTCTTTATATAAAGATATTAGGGTTAGGGTTAGGAGAAAACAGAAGGAAAATCATTGATTAATGAAACGATATAACAATCATCTAAATGGGATTTTTGTTATTAATATCGCCTATATGTTATAAGTGTTACTTGTTAATTAACTGATTGACGAAAGACGTTTCGGTTCATTATTAATAATTAATTAGCTAATCTACTAAGCCTATACCCTAATTGCTATCAACTTACTTCATATCTGTTTGTTATACAATTGATTAATTAATAAAAAGAAGAATAATTGATGACTCAGCATTTTTTTTTCAATTGTAAAATCTCTTCGTCTTTTTTAGAACAAACATATTGTTCATAATTATTCTTTTTGTTTTTGTATTTTTAAGAAACGACTCCGTGGCGCAACGGTAGCGCGTCTGACTCCAGATCAGAAGGTTGCGTGTTCAAATCACGTCGGGGTCAAGTTCAATCTTTTGTTCTTTTTTTTTTTATAGGCCTATTTTATTATTAGACGCGTATAAAATTCATGGAAATTATGCATTATTGCTGTTTTTATGAATATATATATATATATATATATATTATTTATATTTTGTTTCTTTAATACTTACTACAATCAGTAATCTTCTCGTAATAATTAAAATTTGAATCATTTACAAAGTTAATAGGTCTCGTGTGTCTATTTTCGTTGTTCAAGTAGCAATGACCCAATATTTTTTGATAATCAATTGACCTTTAACACGATTCATTACAGAATAAATAGATAAAGAGAAAAAGAAAAGGTACAAAATCTACCTGCAATTTGGGTAAATTTTACAAAGATTTTTACAATCTTCTAGCGAAAGTTCACCGTGTTGCGCTCCATTGAATTCTGTTGCATATATAGTACTAGCAGCCATGGCCTTATTGATAAATTCTTCATAAGAAATACAAGCTGAAAAATTTTGTGAACAGAGTTCAAAAAAAATGAATAATTAGAAGAAAATATTCAAAAGTAAAACAACCTGTTTGTTGAGCTTGTATTAAGAATAATTGTTGTATAAAGTATATAAACGCATAACGAGTTTGAATAAAATTGAACATAGTGTACTGAAAATGATCTCTTCTTCTTTCTGCCTCTCTCTCTCTCTTCAACTGACTATGTTCATAGGCATCTCATATAAGATAATTACTGCATATTTAATGAGTTGTAATAATTTCCAAAGTCAACACGCTGTATAAATTTTATTTTGTATTGAGAATGTTTTTATTAAATTATCATAGATAAACATTAAGGAATAAGAAACTTAGGCTTAATTATTCTATTTTAAATATGTTAATGACTTCCCTTTTTCTTCTGCGATGAGGTAAATTATGAAATTTTTGATACGAAACTGACTTCAGATCAGAAGGTTGCGTGTTCAAATTATTCTTTACAGAAGGAAAGAGACTAGACGGTAAGGACGGAAGTCTGAAAGAGAGAGAGAGAGAGAAACTTAAAAATAACACTTGTATGCTATGCGTAGGTGTTGTGATAGTCTAATAATTCCATTTGAGATCAATGAAATATAGGTTGTTTAAATTGAATTAGATTTTTTAATAAAACATAAAACAATATGCAAAACAAACTATCTCTTTTCTATTTTTCTATGCTTCTTCCTATTCAAATACAAGTTCTTTATTATAGTTTCATCTTTTAATTCAAAGCAATAAGCTATTTATTAATAGAACGATTAGTTTCATTGTCTTGGAGAAGCGGCTTCTACAAAGTATCTTTTCTCTTGTAGATTTTATCTAAACGATTTAAACAATGCATTAGTCGCTTGAATATTGGTACTAAATATCATAAAGAAACAATGTAATGTACAAAAAGAGAAAGTCAACATTTCAAAAGTCAATGTTTGTTCGCTTGAATACAATGAAAAACATGATGAATATACTATTACGTTTTTAACAGCATTTACGACGTATTGGTTTAAAAGTTTTCGCCATACAATGATCTACTTTTATAATTATTTGATAAAAATACTCGTTAGTTTCATTTCCATAAGAATAATAGGTAAGTTAATTAACTATTAATAATTATACAAATTACAGGTAAAAAATTTTTCAATAATTTTCAAATATATGTTCAGGATTTGAACATATTTGGTTTGGGTGTTTAACACTTAATTTTAACCTTTATATTAACCCTATTTTGCAATTAAAATCATAATTGTATTGTCTTTGATTTGCGAAAGGAAGAATATAAATATGTAAATCAATCTATTAAAGCAAAATCTTTTATTACTTTTAATTATTCTATATGAAGAATAAAAGCTAATAGTTAAACCTACAAAATTCCTTCAATTAAGTTTCAATATCTTTTTCAGCAATGTGTACATTAGATACAGATTGTATTTACGATGGAAAATGTATTAATGGAACATGTAAATGCGATAATCCAATCTTGAAAGGTTCTTGTCATTTAGGTAAAAAGAAATTCATTAAAATTATTATAAATTATTCAATATAATAAACAATATATAGGCTCAAAATATTTGATTATTCAAGAAGAATGTTCTATTGAAAGTTTAACCTACTTTAAGGCGTCTAATTTGTCGGATTGCATTGAGAATTGTACTTCAAACGACAATTGTACAGCTGTTACTCTGCTTGTAAATTTTAATGTTCTTTTTTGTTTTTTAAAACAAATTTGCTCATTTCCTTTATCACCTCCCTCAAATTTGCCTGATAGAATATATACTGTTCTTTTTAAAGGTAGATAATAAGTTACTGTTCTAGTCGTTTATTATATATATATAGAAAACTTTGAAAATTTATTCTAGATTCTGAACAATCGTTATGTGGACATGATGATTTGAGTACAACCCATATAAGGGAATGTATTGAATTTTTATGGAATAAGCATACACATTGCTCATCAAATGGATTAGGATTGACAGACAATATGAATAAATGGTTGGGAAATATGACTGTATTTTCAATTAAAGAAGAAATGATTGAAATAAGTAAAAACTCAGTTCATTTTTCAAAAGTAAACTCTCAAACAGCCAGTAAAGAATTATATAGAAGTTTATGCTACGGAAATCTATCGCCTGGAAGATATAATATAGCTTTTGGAAAGAAAATACTTCATAATATGGTTTCTAGTTCGTCCTCAACAATTTACAACATTAATCATCTAGTCGACGGAGTTACTAATCCAAATGCTAATTTGGGCGGTTGTCTGCAATTGTTTAAATCAAATTTACCGACTCTATGGTTCGCTATCGATTTAAAAACAAATTATATTGTAAGAAGAGTAATTATCTATCCACAGAGTAAACAGATAGGTTAATTATATTATTAATATTTTCTTGCTATTCAATTATTTATGAATTCTAAATTTTTCATGTTTGAATAGGCGATCTAGAATTAAAAATTACTGTCTTAGAAAATGAACCTGTCGATAGTATCAATCCAAATCTAATTGATCCTTATCAAATCTGCACTCGAAACGTTACAATTTCATCGGATTCCGAAAGAAAAACTATTGATTGTCAAGCTAAACTTTTACCAGCAAGATATACAGTCTTTTTCACAGAATCTATTGATAATCTAACAATATGCGAAGTGGAAATATTTACAAGTAAAAAAAGAATATATATAAAAAAAGAGAACATTATCTTTGCATTGAAATTTCTCTTTTTTTTTTGTAAATCTCGATTAAAAAATACAATTTAAATTTAATTTTCTAACAAATATTTAGGTGATTTAGCTTTGAATGGACAAACTTTTACATCTAGTGTAAAGAATGAAGCTTACGGGGGTTTTGCCGTTCAAGACGCAACCAGTTCTATTGGCTTTAATTCAAGAGATCAAGCGGAAAATTGGTTTAGTGTACATATAGATGGAAAATATATTATCTATGGCCTAGATATATTTGGAATAGACTACAAAAAATTAAAAATATACGTAATTAATAGAAATTATCTATTGGATAAAGAGACAAACGATTCGGAATTATGTAATAATTTTAAAAATGAAGGCTATTTCGAATATTTATTCTGTCAATGTAAAAATCATTTAATCGGCGAATTTATTGTAGCTAAATCAAAAGCGTATTTAAATATTAAAAATCTACAAATATGGGGATTATTTCAAAATGATTCAAGTATAAAAATAATTTGAATTTCAAGGTTAAATCTCTAACAAAATCTCTTTTCTTTTATATTCTTAAAGGTTTAGTTAATATTGCTTATAAAAAACCTACTTGGCAATCTTCAACATATATTTATTTCTTTTCAAAACCGTATTACTCTTATTACGCAACAGATGGACAAAATAATGACAAGTTCTCCAGAACTTTGTTTTCTTTCAATCATCTGTGGTTTTGCGTTGATTTATTATTAATGTATAGAATTGATTATATTGGAATTCAAACAATCACTTCTAACAACTACAATAAAGTCTTTTCATACAAATTCAAGATTATAGAGAAAAAATCAAGAATAAACGTTAATGAGAAACTTTTAAATTCGGATTGCTATACAAAAGATCAAGCTTCAACTGACGAAATTGGTGAAACAGTGGTATGGAATTGTTCATTTGCTATTAAATACGGTCGATATATATATATAGATAGTTCAAGTCAAATTATAATTAATGAATTATACGCTTATGGCAAACAACTAGAGGAAAATTTACAAGTTTTATCAAAAGTTTCAACTGTTGATGTTACTTCTAACAAACAATATCACAGTTATCAACATTCGCCATTAAAGATTATTGACGGCAATTTCAATAACATAATTCCTACTGAATCGTGTACTCTTCTAACGGCGAATGGAGAAAAAATTTTAAAGGTAAATCTCGATAATAAATATCACGTGACTCAAATAGTTATTCAACCTTTGTATAAGCTTTATTCAGGTAGGTTAATTTATGAATATTATATTCAAGTTTAATTAAATGAATATTCATTATACAGACGTATTCAAAAATGTTGACGTATACGTTAAAAATGATACTAATAACTTGCAAGAACTATGTAAAAAGATAACGTTATCTGGGTTGATTCGTAATCTTTTAATAATAGATTGTGAAAGGCCTATTTACGGAAATCAAGTAATACTAATAAGGAAAGATAATACAAAACATTTATCAATATGCGAAATAAAGATATACGAAAAAGTATATCTTAACGATAAGGAAGATCAGTATAATCGGATGAAAATTATGAAAAATACAAGATTAATAACAGACGGTTTTTGTTTAATTAATGAAAAAGTTACAAATCTTATTAATTGTTTCTTATTGTGTAAAAGAAAACAATGTATAACGTTCTCATTTAATCTAATTCAACGTTTGTGCTGTTTATCTTTATATACAGAGTTGAATAGTTACTTTGAAGTTTCTTACAACGATCTAATTGGACAAGTCTATTCAATGGCGCCCTCTAACTATAATTTATGCAGTAGTTTTTAATTAGAATACATAATGAATAAACTATTTGTATATATCAATTTTTATTTAAAGTAATAAACATAAATATTGTTCCAGTTTTAAGATATCACGAATATGTCTCTTCTCTCCCACCATTCAATATCGCTCACAAGTAAACAAATGGAGTAGTTATGAAACATGATCTCTCTGAAAAGTCTCTCATTACGAGTTATATGTAAAAATTTATTGAATCTATATCATATTTGTTTACGTAATAATTTAACAATTTGCGATAAATTAGGCAATCAAATATTCGATTATATTAACATTAAAAGGATACATTTAAAAGAAGATGATCTATTGTTATTTTCAACAGAAATTACAACTTTGACTGAAATTCATTTAAATAAAGAACTTTTGGAAAATATTGGTAAAAGATTCCAATTCTTGAACAATCATTCAATACGAAAATTATTTCTATATAACTTTATTAATATCGATTATTTAATAGAGCATATAGATCCTAGAAATATTGAAAATTTACTGATTAATAACTGTTCAATAACATCGGATTATTTAGGTAATTTGATGGAAAATCAGAGAAAACAATTTAAAGAAACAAACTTGAATAGAGATGTTTGTAACAACTGGTTTACAAACATTTCAACAAATTGGACGTTCAATTTGAGAATATTTATCGTTCAATCTTGCGAACTTTCCTACGAAATGGGAACTTTTTTGGGTCGTCAACAACAATTATCATCATTAGAAATATGTAATGGAAACGTTAAAGAAAATTCTAAACGTTATTTCCTACAGAATATCCCTTCCTCTTGTTCAAATCTAAGTAAATTACTTATGAGAAATTGTAACCTATCTTCCGAAACGGCAATGTATTTAGGTTTATATATTAACAATCAGAAACAGCTCGACTCCTTAAAGTTGATGGGATTGGATTTGAGATATAGTATTGGCGATAATATCTTTAAGAATATCTCTTCAGAGTGCTGCAATTTAAGAGAATTGAACCTAAAATATAGTAAATTATCATTGGAAATGAGTGAATATTTGGGAATATTTATCAAACGGCAATCGAACTTGATAAAGTTAAATCTTTCAAGAACGAATCTGGAAGGCCAACTAGGAAGAAATGTATTTAAAGACAAGTCATCCGTCTGCCGTCTAGAAGAATTATACTTAAATAATTGCAGATTATCGCAAAGTATGAGTAAAAATTTAGCAATTTTCATAGCCAACCAATCAAGACTTGCCGTATTAAGTTTAAAATGCGTTAACCTAACAGAAGCAATTGGAAATAATTTATTTCATCAGGAGAAATCGAAATGTTGTAATTTACTTCAATTAAATCTAGCTTGTTGTAATTTATCAATGAAAATGTGTTGGAATTTAGGTCATTTTATTAATAGTCAAACGTTACTTAACAAGCTTAATCTATTGGGAACAAATCTTGAAGATCAATACGGAAGGTATCTCTTTCAGAATATCTCTTCAAAGTGTTGCAATTTAAGAGAATTGAATTTAAGTTATTGTAAATTATCACCGGAAATGAGTCAATATTTGGGAAAGTTTATTGGAAATCAAAAAGAATTGTCTATATTCAAATTTGAAGCAACTAATCTTAATGGTAAAATTGGAAAAGATATACTTTCGAATATTCCAAAATCGTGTTCAATATGATTGATAATCGTTCTGTTTTTAATATTAAAACAATACACAATTGATAAACATTGAAATGATTTATTATAAAAGTAGGCTAAAATCTTTAAAAACATCTGTAAAATCTTTATGAAACTGTAATTTATATTCCAGAACTGAATGTTCAGGATAAGCAGATGTAAGTATTAATTTTCCGAGGCAAGGTTGTTTCATATGTGTACGAGATGTATATGATATTTTAAGAGTTCCGAGTCTCTGGCATGAGTTGATTAGTATATGGCACAATTTATTAAATTCATTATGTATCCTCATATCGTAACTTATGTATAAAAAATGTAAATATTTGCAATTTTTCAGTAAATTCCCTAAATATTGAACTTGTCCTCTGTTCAATGAACAATTGTTAACGTAGAGATTCTTTAACTTTAAAAATGACGACCTTAAAGATGTACAAATAGCTTTAAAACCGCTTTCCATACCGGTATTAAAACCTAAATTCAATTCTTCCAAATCAGTTAGATTTTGAAGTAAATCTGCAAGATTATAGGCTTGCTGTTCGTTTAATAAACATAGAGAAACGTCTATTTTTCTTAATCTGCAATTAGATAATTTCAATCCGTAGCACACATCTTTAAATCCCATTTTCAAATCTTGATTAAGGCTTAGATCGATTGATTCTAAGTTTTTTGAATTTTGTAATAAACTCCCTAAACACATTGTTTGTAAATCATTGATTGAACAATGAGATAAATATAGTTTCTTTAGATTTAAACAAGATAATCTAAATCCATCACGAACTGCTCTAAATCCATCATCCGATATACAATTTAAACTTAAATCCAATGATTCCAATTTTTCACAATTTCTCAACAAACGACCTAAATATTGAGCATTTTTTCCATTAATTTCACAAAAGCATAAATCGAGCTTCTTAAGCATTGCGCAAGAAGATCGAAGTCCATCGAAAGCGAGTATAAGATTTTCACCTATTTCACTGTTGAAACTCAAATCCAAACATTCTAAATTGCAGCAACGTTTCAAGAACTCCCCTAGATGGCGAGTCTGTTCAATCGTCGTTAAACAATGTCGAAGTGATAATTTCCTTAATGATCTTGGATTAATATTTACGATAATCCCTTCTAATTCGTTAATATCTTTAATATCTAGAATTTCAATTGGATGATCTCTTAAAAATTCAAAGTTTTTAACAACAGCAATTTGCTTTTCGCAAAAAGAAACATTCGTTAAAGTAACAACATTCGAACTAAAGAACATTAAATCATCGTTTGAAAGAGAAGAATAGTTTGAATGCTTTAAGTGTTCAAATATAGAATTACTCACTTGAATAGGTAAACGATATTTATAAAAGACGCATATTTCATAAATTTTAGACAAATTATTAACAACAGACACTATCGATAACGTCCTTAAAGATTCCACATACATAATCATCTATAAAGAATTCTTCTTCTCTTCCTTAATCTAACAATAACTGCAGTAAATATAAGTTTGAGTGATAATTGGGTGAAATCGAAGCAAATTTTCAATAGAATATCATATTGGAATGGAATTCGATTAGTAATTCAAACATTTTTCTCCTTTAGCCTATTATATTAAAAGTATAAAAAGCATAGATTGTCAATTTTACTGGTTGGCTATGGTGTTGAAAGTCTACTTTATATCTTCTAAATACAATATAAAAACGTGATAAAAATTTATTATCGTCTTAAGAAGACGATTATAAATGAATAGTTTTATGTGAAAGAGAAAAAAAATAAATTGAACTTGACCCCGACGTGATTTGAACACGCAACCTTCTGATCTGGAGTCAGACGCGCTACCGTTGCGCCACGGAGTCGTTTCATACTAATATCATAAATTATCTCGGCACAGAAGAGAAGAAGACGATTTTCCAGATTGGTTTAGTCATTTTTTTAATCTTCCTGTTCCTATCGAAAAGACGACCAAGGCATATTTAATCTTTATTTACCTTCAATTATTAGAAAAGAGAAGTTTAGATACTGTAAAATAGGATTTAGTTAAGATTATCGCACTAAATCCCTTAATATTTAACAGTATTATTTTCATTATCATTTCAAGAGAATTTACTAAAATGATTACGAATGTATTGAAGCATTAATATGCGGATTATTAGATTAATCGTTGAATAGGAAAAATCTCTATTCAGAGATATTAATATCCTTCATAGTTATAGGTAAAGTTAAGTTTGAACACAACCTAAAGATGACATCAAAAAGAATGAAACTATTCAATTCTACGTGTCTATTGGATACATAGATACCTTTGCGTGAATACAATATTCATCATCATCATCTAGGCTTAAATTTCAGAATTCAATTACTCTTGGGACGGATTTACAATATGGGAACCTAGTCAAAAATATGACCATTGCCAAAATTGGTACAGCAATGTCCCCCTAATCAGAGGTGTTAATATCTTCCGATGCTCTCAACTAGATAGATGATTTGAATGGTCAATACGAAGCGAATAATAGCTAATATGAGATAATGATGGAAAATCAACTCTAACCAATTAAAGTAAACTATAAAGACTTTTATCATCGTCTCAACTTGGAATATCTTTGAGAGGAAAAGGAGAAAAGAGACTTCGTCATCCAACTAGGTCATACAGTAAAAATATACAGTACTACGTAAAACTGTATATATCCAAGGCTTGCATGTATTTTAATTATATTTGATTACATTGCAAAAGGAAATATTTGTGTTCTCTTTACATTTGTATTATTTATGAAGAAAAGATTGAATAGTAAATTTACATAAGCGATTTCTTTTAATTGTCTTGAATGATGGTTATTTCATTTTCATAGCATATCTATTCTATTGGTACATAGTATAAAAAATTCAATATTTGAAGGAAAGACGACAATTGTAAACACTAGAGTTGTTCAATGTAAATTAATTGAATGATCAATATTTTTTCGTAGAGGCTTGCTAATATAATAAAAAAGTTTCTTGGATTACTAATTACATTGAAATATGGCTTTCAACTTGTATGTTATTAAATATATAGTGATTTTTATAACAATTGATATTACTGGTACGAATAAGGATATTGTTTCTTTCAATAACATTTATAGTACATTCAAATTTTACCGATAGTTTGCTGCAATGACAACAATGATTGCCCGTACGACAGTAATTGTATAAATAATATCTGTACCTGCTCTCATCCTTTGCAAAATGAAATATGCCATTTAGGTATAAATTCAAAATATTAGTGTTCAAACATTTCTTTTAACATGATTTATTATTATTCAATTATTCAATCCGAAGGAACGAAGTATGCATTTTTTAAAGAAGATTGTAACCTTGGTGACATATCTTCGTATCCGAATTCTCCAAGCATTTCCTTTTGTGTAGAGAAGTGTAGCTTGAATGAAAATTGTACTACTGTGGTTGTAGGTTTTCGAATAGGTGGTGGAATAACTTGCTTTTTAAAATCTCATTGCGTATATCCTCTTAGAAACTATACTGGAGTTGACTTTACTGAAATACATTCCATTATTGCAAGAGGTAAATTTTTTAAACAGTTTATAATTATGTTTCAAATAAATCATTCAATCTTTATTCAAAAGACAATGAACTATCGGTTTGCGGTATTGAAAATGCGTTTGTTACTCATTTGCGAGAATGTATAGAATTTTTGTGGAAAACTTATACCAATTGTTCAATGAGAGGACTCGGATTAATGGCAAATATTAACCGCTGGATGGGTTTATATAGTTTAAGGCAAATCAAAAAGGAAATGATGGAAATTAGTCAAAATTCTACTCATTTTAGTCAACCTTGGTCTAGAAAAGGACAAAAATTCATTAGAACTTTATGCTACGGACGTCAATCTTCGGGAAAATATAACATAGCTTTTAATAAAACAATACAAACGCTTAATTTCGTTATTTCTGATCCAGTCCATATTTGGAATACTGATCATTTAGTTGATGGTATTTTGAACTTTAATCCGAATGCAGGTGGTTGTAGCCAAATGACATTCAACGGACAAATGATGAATCGGTTTTCTATTGATATAAAAGAAGAATATTTAATTGAAACAATTTTACTATATCCATCAAAGATCTTAGGTTTAAAGGAAGAATATCTAATGTAATTACTAATATAAACTCTCCCCTTTTCAGAATCTTCTATAGAATTGAACATTTATATCTCGTCTTCTGGAATTGAAGATAATTTTTACGAGGCAGGGGAAGGCTTTTTCTCATGCGCCCTATTACAAATCATTCAACCATCAATTGAAGTGAAAGTAATTAATTGCGAAGATGATACTAGACCGGGAAGATTTGTTATTTTTGATTTAATATTCCCTCAAACAATTACTATATGCGAAATTGAAGTCTATACAGGTAATAGTATAGATTAATCATAACAACTACCAACAGAAAAATCTTTAAGCTCTGTTTTTCAACTTTCAAGCTGATTTAGCTCTCGGTGGAGAATCGTTCTCTTCCAGTGCACTTTCCTATAGTTACTTAGCTGTACAAGAAAAATTTCCTGTTCATGTCGGCTTTAATTCAAGACTTGAAACTTTGGCGTGGTTTAGTGTATATTTACACGGAAAGTATCTTATTTACGGATTAGATATCTTTAAATTAGGTTACAACCATCTAAAGGCTTTTACTGTAAATCGAAATTTTATATTGGATCAAAAAACCCAGGAAAAGGAATTATGCTCTGTTTTAAATTCAGTAGATTCTTTAGATTACTTATTTCTTCCATGCGAAAATCATTTAATTGGCGAATTCGTTGTAGTAAAGAGTGTTAATTGGTTAAATATAAATAGAATTGAGATATGGGGATTATTTCAAAATGAATCTGGTAAGATATACTATTATAATCTTTGTATTAGAAAATAAATAGAGGCGTCTCTTTTTTCTAACGATATCGACAACATTGCCTACGGAAAACCTGTCTGGAGACATTCAGCTCTAGATTCTTCAACAGTGAACGATCACTACGCTTATTATACAACTGATGGATTTAATGGACCAAATTATACTTCAACTAAATTATCAGACAAACCCTGTTGGATTATGATTGATTTATTGAATATATACAGAGTTGAGTATATAGGTATTCAAATGATGCCATTCTGTTCAGGTAAAATGAAAAATACCTTTAGTTTCCTTTCTATTTTTTTCAATTTTTGAACACAATGGTAACAGATTGTTACCTAGACTTGGTACTTTCAAAGTATCATTATCATCTCTTCAAAATATTAAAAGATAAGGATTCAATGGATAAATATAAGGTTATTCAAAAATCTGATTGCATAACCAATGATTATCTTAATCAGAGTAATTTGGGGAAAACTGTAATATGGAATTGTTCTCTATCATTTACATATGGTAGATATATTTTCGTTCAAAACAAAGCAGATGGCGTTAGTAGGTTGATCATAAATGAATTATACGCTTTTGGAACTTTACTCAAAGATAACAAGGATTTTATGTATGAAATTCCATTCTTGGACGCATCTTCTAACATTAAACATATACCTTCATTGAATTCTCCTTTAAATATAATTGATAATGATTTTAATAATATACCATCGTCACCTTCCTGTTCAACACTTGATTCTGTTGAGAAGAAAGAATTCTTTATCAATCTGTTGAGCTATCATTACGTATACGATGTTATTATTCAACCAAAACTTTCTAATGACGGTTTTTATATACAAAATATGAACGTATTCGTTCAAAATTCAACAGAACAAATTAAAAGGCCTTGTGGATTTTTTGTGTCGGGTTTGGAGGATACTGGAGCTATTATTAATATTAATTGCGTTGAACCGTTACTAGGCAACCAAATCATTCTGATTGGAGATAACAAAGAGAAACATTTTAGTATTTGTGAGGTTAAAGCTTTTGGAGAAGTTTTTCAAGGTAAAAATGAACGTCTAACTTATTGTGTTTTGGGGAGATTTCATTCCAGTATGTTGACAAATTTACATAACAATCATTTTATATGCTGAACTGTATTAAAATCTCTCTCTAAAATAAAGTCAACGACAGAAAAATTGGAACACCTCGAATTTTGATATGCCAAATTTTAAAAATCTTTTTCATTATGAAAAAAGATTATTTTTCTTTTTTTCAGTGTTTAGTATTAGGTTAAACTTGCAATTTTATATAAATTTCTTTCAAAAAGCAGTTAGGTAAGTTTTATAAAATTTTTTTTCATAGAAATGACTATTGTTTTATGATTATTTTTCTTATTTAGCCAATCGCAATGATTATTGGAACACAGCCTTTGTCAGATTCTTTTGTAATTGAAGTTTTGTCTTTTAAGCTCCCTCTGAATTGTTCGGAGACTTACATCTACTTCTAATTCCTTTAATATCTTTGCTACTGTCATCCTTTCCTTTAAATCTTTCAGTTTCTTCACAATCCTTTTCATCTCGCCTATCTCTCTGTCTAAAGGCTTCTTTAGACCACTCCTATTGTTTTGCTTTGGCTGTTTATACTTCAAGATATCACTAATTAATGATGGTGCCATTCCTAAAACTCTTGCCGTTGCCCTAAATTTCTAAACATATTTCGCTAAAATATTCACAAAATGTGATGATTTTCTCAAATTTTTTTCAATATTGTGTAAATTTAATTCTTTTTCTATATAAATTTAGACAAAAAAGACTACTTTACAGCGAACAAATAATTTTAACCTTTAATTAAAAGTTGGCCTACCAAAATTTACAATGTCCACATTTTCTTGTCGTTTACTTTATATAGCTAATTACTATGCTGTATAAGAGCTAAAACTCAATCATTCTTTCCTTAAAAGGATACAAGAACGAAACTGCTCTACTACGTCAAATGAAAATATATCGAAATACGAGATTATCGAATAGTTTCTTTTGTTTAATTTCAAGCTTTAAAGAAACGATTATAAGCTGCTTTAAACTATGTACAGATAATAATTGTTTGTTATTATCTTTCGATGTTGTAAAGAAACTTTGCTGTATCTCTTTGGTAAGAAGTCTGGAATTATATTTTCAGAATTATGCTAATAGTTTTATTGGGCAAGTTCGTAATGAGACCAGTGAAGTTTACAAACAACAATTGTGCAATTATTAATTGACAAACTAGCTAAGACAATAAATAGAAAAGTCGATGTTTCTATACAATTCAAAAAACTCTTGAATGCGCTTTTTCTAAATGTATAGTTAACTTTGAACACAATAATAAATTGCTTTATGATCAGTTGAGAAAGAATTTAATCATCTTGATTTTTAGATTAGATTAAGTAGAACAAGGAAGAAATATGAATGATAGTAACTGTTTTAAAGATTAGATTACAGATTTCGTTTATTTTAACTAAATGAAAAAGTAAAGAACGACTATAATACTAAATCAAATTAGATAAATTTTTAATTTGGCATTTTCATACAAAGTCAAATAGAATAGAATTCTCAATTCTGAACATAGAGATGACTCTAATTCTGATCTTAAACTATTAAAAATAATGACATTGACGAGTATACTTCATTATTAGCTATACAACCTGTGTAATCTACATGTAGATTGTCTCCTGCATTCATTCTAACCAAGCCTGCTTTTGATATTAAATCAGACCCGGCACTCTCTGATCTTCTTCTATATAACCTAAACATTTCAACTTGATTGACACGAACAGAAACCTCTGCAATGCTGTATCTCTGAACAGCGATGTTAAGATCAACATAATAAGTACCATCTTTCGGGGCTATATACACATCGGAAGAGTTCCATGAATATGTTGTATCGTGTAGAATTCTATTAAAGTTCATTCTATAAGTTTGACTGCCGCAAGGTGAATGAACACCAGGACCTTGAGTCACATATAAAATAGGTGAGCTTTCGTTCAATCTAAAAGCAGAAAGATAAGTAGAATCATAAGAATAGTCTTGATATCCCTGTAAGAAATATTCAAAAGTCCTATAACCACTCTCAAATTGACAAATAAAACTTCGCGATAGTTGAGTGTTGTCATTTCTATGAGGATAATTACGAACTATCTGTTCACTTGCAGTGCTAACAGAGTCTATCAAAATCGAAGCATTTACAGCAGAATTACTACTGGTACCAACACCAAAGCTAACAAAATAATATCCAGTTGCACCTGCCGTGAATGTACTATACCCATTAGAAATTTGAAAGCCTCTAATACTGCCAATAGAAGTCATATTAAGAATACCGTCATGTCTACCACTTGAACTAATAGCAGCATAGATATAATTGTCAGACGAATATCTGAAACCGAGCCACGAAGTATCTTTTCCAGTATCATCTCCAACTAAATTTGCGCTGCTTAATCTTTGATAGATATGTGGTCGATATAGGCTACTCAGAGTAAATAAGCCACTTCTGGTTGTTAAATCAAAAGAAGATGTTAGCCGTTCTCTCGTTAGGCCAATTGTTCTGCCAGCATTTTCTAGAGCAAGTCGAATACCGCTGTTAAATGCAACAGTAGCAGTCATAGACATATAATATAAACCAGACTTTTTTATATTTAATGAATTGTCTCCAGAACTAAATAAATCATCTTGATTTATATCAATCGAGCTCCATCTGACTTTTTCTATATTGAATGAAGTAGTCCTTTGTAAAGATACCATAAATGCTGGTTCTCTGTAATATCCACAATCGGGTGTTCGACAACCTTCCACTTCAATTGGTACACCCGGACATTCGGCACCGCCGTTTATTGGTGGAGGATTATTACAGTTTCTTGTTCGAGTTCGTATTCCATCACCTCCACAACTCGGTTCACATTCACCCCAAGGTGACCATTCAGACCAACCTCCTGGTCTTGGACAGTTCGCATCTTCCGCTCGAACACAAAGCTTTACGGTACACGTTCTTGGATTAACTACAGGGCTAAAAAAGAAACCGGGAGGACATTGTTGGGGCCAAGATACCCCATTTTCGCAATGATAATAGATTCTACAATCGATTAAACTCGGAACTGTTGCATTAAGATTTGGTGCACATTCGTCCGTTTTTGTAAAACAAGGAGTTGAAAAATCTTTCTGGTTTGGTTCGCATTGTTGAGGTTCTTTATGGAACACCTCATTATTGGACGTTGGACAATCAGCATATTCAGGTGCAACACAAGTTATAATTGTACAATCTAACGTTGTAAATCTAAAGAAAAGACCAAGAGGACAGTTCTGTGGATAAGCTTTACCATTGATACATTGATAATAGGCACCGCAAAATTGCGGATCTCTGTAGGCTCCGTCAATTGGTCTGAAGTTGTTGTCAACAGGACAATTGAATGAACTTGAAGGTGAAAAGAGCGTTGTAAAGAAGACTGTATACGAATATTCGTAAAGTGTATTTAACAAATCGATGGAGTGTAATAATAAAAGTTAAAGGAACTTACAAGCTATAATAAAAGTATTCCTTTTCATCTTTCCAGCTATATTTTCAAGCATTTAATGAGAGAATTTCAAGCGATAACCATAAATTTATAGTATAAATTGCTTAGAAGATATGCGATAGCATAGATATTGTATAGCTTTATCAAGCTTTTAAGATATAGCTAGAGCATGTAGAGGACGAAAACTTTGCTGGAATAAGAGTCTGTATCAGTGTTTTATCTCTAAATGAATATGATAGTGTTTAAAAAGAAGAAAGAGGTCAATGTATTGAATAAGGTAACTTTTGAAATGGTAAAATATTTGGCAAGATATAATGTATTTTGTAATTTATTAGAACCATAATTTCGTACAAATTGTTTAGAAAGTACATGTATTTGAAAGTTAATAGGTTCTAAGACACTAATAAAAGAGACATTGATGAAACCATATCAGAAGTTGATATACAACCATCATATTTCGTTGTTAAAATATCCCCTTTGTTCATTTGTATTAATACCGATTTAGATATTAATTCTGAATTTTCATTATCAGATCTCCATTTCAACATCCTCATTGTCACTAAATTATTAACTTCAACAAACACTCTTAAATGACTTCTATATCTAACGACAACGCTTATATCGATATAATATGTACCGTTTACGGGTGATGTATAGGAGAAATTATTAAAATTCCACGAATTTTTTGTATCCATGCTTTTTCTATTAAACTCTATCTTGCTAGGCGATATTGTACATGATTGTGAAGATGACATACTTTGCCAGACAAATAGAATAGGTAAACTATCATTCAATTTATATGCTAACAAATAAGTAGGAAAACCTTCAGATGAGTTATGTCCTCCTTCAATAAAATACTCAAAGCTCGTATCATCGTCAATCAAACGAATGAAACTACGAGATAATTGATCGGAACTATCAATGTGTTTACTGTTACGTCTTATTCTTTCATATGGATTATTTGCTGAATTTATGAAAATGGAAACATTTACATTTTCTGCTGAAAAAGGTCCAATGCCAAAGTTAATAAAATAGACTCCACCTTCTCGACTAATAAACCTTCTATTCGAGTTAACAGCCATAAAATTTCTCATATTTATAATAGAGTCGAGAGCAAGATAGCGTTCATCAAAAGTGCTCAATTCGGAGCCAGCGAATAAATAATTATTAGATGAATATTCAAATCCTAACCAGGAAGTATCCTTTCCAAAATTATCACCTGCCAAGAATGAAGAAGGCAGTCCTTGGTGAACGTATGGTCGAAATAAACTGTTCAAATTGAATAGACAATTTCTAGTTATCAGATCAAAACTTTTCTCATTTCTTTCTCTCTTTAAACCCATTCTTTTACCCAAATTCTCAAGGGAAAGAGAAGTTCCACTATTTCCTCCTATAGTAGCAGTTATAGAAAAATAATATAAACCAGACTTTTTGATATTTAATGAATTGTCTGCAAAATTAAATAAATCATCTTGATTAACATCAATCGAACTCCATTTAACTCTCCCCTGAGAAAGAATTGTGCTCGTCTGTAAAGATACCATAAATGCTGGTACTCTGTAAATTCCACAATCGGGTGTTCGACAACCTTCCACTTCAATTGGTACACCCGGACATTCGGCACCGCCGTTTATTGGTGGAGGATTATTACAGTTTCTTGTTCGAGTTCGTATTCCATCACCTCCACAACTCGGTTCACAATCGCTCCAAGGTGACCATTCAGACCAACCTCCTGGTCTTGGACAGTTCGCATCTTCCGCTCGAACACAAAGCTTTATGGTACACGTTCTTGGATTAACTACAGGGTTAAAAAAGAAACCGGGAGGACATTGTTGGGGCCAAGATACTCCATTGTCGCAATGATAATAGATTCTACAATCGATTAAACTCGGAACTGTTGCATTAAGATTTGGTGCACATTCGTCCGTTTTTGTAAAACAAGGAGTTGAAAAATCTTTCTGGTTTGGTTCGCATTGTTGAGGTTCTTTATGAAACACCTCATTATAAGACGTTGGACAATCAGTATATTCAGGCTTAACACAAGTTATAATTGTACAATCTAACGTTGTAAATCTAAAGAAAAGACCGAGAGGACAGTTCTGTGGATAAGCTTTACCATCGATACATTGATAATAGGCACCGCAAAATTGCGGATCTCTGTAGGCTCCGTCAATTGGTCTGAAGTTGTTGTCAACAGGACAATTGAATGAAATTGAAGGTGAAAAGTGCGTTGTAAAGAAGACTGTATGCGAATATTCGTAAAGTGTATTTAACAAATCGGTGGATTGTAATAATAAAAGTTAAATGAACATACAAACTATAAATAAGATGCTGTTTTTCATCCTCTCTAGCTACAATTTTATTATTTTGTATGAAAGAACTCGTTATAATAACTTTGAAAATTATCACCAAAAAATTGCCTAAAAGATACGCCCAAGATACTTTTGTTTCTTATCGGTTTTAAGACTTTGTTCTGGGATGTTATCTATACTAATTATTTAATTTCTACTTTGCAGTTTACTTTCTTATAGTTAAGCATAAATAATTTTATATCGTTATCAGTAATAGGCTAAGATTGGTAAGCAATGAATTCTAAATATGCAGCATTTTGTACTTTCGTTTTGTGAAATTAAATATATTTATCTTTAAGTTGGATTAATTAATTGGTTGATAGGACCAAATTACGCAATATCATCATGTTAAGACCATAGGTTATGTAGTTCAGTAAAACATTTACAAACTTGAATGAAAGAATATGGAAAGGAAAAACTCTTAATCCAGATTTATTAAGTGTAGACAGCTTTACTCGAGACGGGAGTATCTATTTTTTATTGTTACGGCTTAAAGCATGTCTTCTATCACTCCTCTACCAGGTTCCAATACATCAGCAGCATATGCTAACTAACCAACCTAGATAGGAGGTCTTTAGATTATTTCGGTACTAGAGAGTTCTAGGGTTGTAGATATTATTATATTGATAATCAATACAGATTTTACGGTCAATGAAAAACTTCCTTTATTGGAAGTTTATAATTGTATTGCTGTATACGTCTGAAGCTTATAATGTATATGTTTTAAGTATATTTGAGAGATTTGTTACGGTTGTTCCAATAAAGGTGTCTTTCGGCTCGCCTCAACAGCAACCTAGAGGAGAGTTCTACGGTATCCATATTCTGTGTTCCAGAGGATAAAAAGTCAACTACAGATAACGCAGCTAGCTACACTAGTAGAAAACAAATAAGCATATTGGATAATCTCGAAAATGTGTGATATCGAGCTCAACAACTGCAGTTTTAGAAAGTATAAAATAAAGATGGAGAAATTAAAGATAAAGTTTCATGATAAGATTTGCGGTTGGTTTTAATATAGTTGATGTAGGCTTACCACAGACTGAAGAAATAGAATCTCTTTGTTCCCTTTTGCTGTTTATCTACTATGTATTAGGTTAGTTGTCGTTTAACCTATGGTAAAATAATAATATATAGTATAGATTGTTAATTTGATAAATATGAATAGAATTGAAATAATGAATCTGGTAAGATATACTATTATAATCTTTCTATTAGAAAATATATAGAGGCGTCAACAATTTTAACCTGTAATTAAAAGTTGGTCTACCAAAATTTACGATGTCCACATTTTCCTGTCGTTTACTTTATATAGCTAATTACTATGCTGTATAAGAGCTAAAACTCAATCATTCTTTCCTTAAAAGGATACAAGAACGAAACTGCTCTACTACGTCAAATGAAAATATATCGAAATACGAGATTATCGAATAGTTTCTTTTGTTTAATTTCAAGCTTTAAAGAAACGATTATAAGCTGCTTTAAACTATGTACAGATAATAATTGTTTGTTATTATCTTTCGATGTTGTAAAGAAACTTTGCTGTATCTCTTTGGTAAGAAGTCTGGAATTATATTTTCAGAATTATGCTAATAGTTTTATTGGGCAAGTTCGTAATGAGACCAGTGAAGTTTACAAACAACAATTGTGCAATTATTAATTGACAAACTAGCTAAGACAATAAATAGAAAAGTCGATGTTTCTATACAATTCAAAAAACTCTTGAATGCGCTTTTTCTAAATGTATAGTTAACTTTGAACACAATAATAAATTGCTTTATGATCAGTTGAGAAAGAATTTAATCATCTTGATTTTTAGATTAGATTAAGTAGAACAAGGAAGAAATATGAATGATAGTAACTGTTTTAAAGATTAGATGACAGATTTCGTTTATTTTAACTAAATGAAAAAGGAAAGAAAGACTGTAATACTAAATCAAATTACATAACTTTTTAGTTTGGCATTTTCATACAAGTCAAAATAGAATAGAATTCTCTATTCTGAACATAGAGATGACTCTAATTTTGATCTTAAACTATTAAAAATAATAACATTGACGAGTACATTACATCATTAGCTTTACAACCTGTGTAATCTACATGTAGATTGTCTCCTGCATTCATTCTAACCAAGCCTGCTTTTGATATTAAATTAGACTCGGTACTCTCTGGTAATTTTCTCAATAACCTAAACATTTTGACTTGATTAACATGAACAGAAACCTCTGCAATGCTGTGTCTCTGAACACATTTTTTCAGACGTTTGACAATCTTCCACTTCAATTGGTACACCCGGACATTCGGCACCACCGTTTATTGGTGGAGGATTATTACAGTTTCTTGTTCGAGTTCGTATTCCATCACCTCTACAGCTCGGTTCACAATCACTCCAAGGTGACCATTCAGACCAACCTCCTGGTCTTGGACAGTTCGCATCTTCCGCTCGAACACAAAGCTTTATGGTACACGTTCTCGGATTAACTATAGGGCTAAAAAAGAAACCGGGAGGACATTGTTGGGGCTAAGATACTCCATTTTCGCAATGATAATAGATTCTACAATCGACTAAACTCGGAACCGTTGCATTAAGATTTGGTGAACATTCGTCCGTTTTTGTAAAACAAGGAGTTGAAAAATCTTTCTGGTTTGGTTCGCATTGATTAGGTTTTTTATGAAACACCTCATTATTGGACGTTGGACAATCAGCATATTCAGGTTCAACACAAGTTATAATTGTACAATCTAACGTTGTAAATCTAAAGAAAAGACCAAGAGGACAGTTCTGTGGATAAGCTTTACCATCGATACATTGATAATAGGCACCGCAAAATTGCGGATCTCTATAGGCTACATCAATTGGTCTGAGATTGTTGTCAACAGGGCAATTGAATGAAATTGAAGGTGAAAAGAGCGTTGTAAAGAAGACTGTATACGAATATTCGTAAAGTGTATTTAACAAATCGGTGGACTGTAATAATAAAAGTTAGAGGAACTTACAAGCTATAATAAAAGTATTCCTTTTCATCTTTCCAGCTATATTTTCAAGCAATGAATGAGAGAATTTCAAGCAATAACCACAAATTTATAGTATAAATTCTTAGGAGATATTGCATAGATACTGTATAGCTTTATCAAGCTTTTATGATATAGCTAGAGCAGGAACAGGACGAAAAATTCGCTGGAATAAGAGAGTCTCTATCAGTGTTTTATCTCTAAATGAATATGAGAGTATTTAAAAAGAAGAAAGAGGTCAATGTATTGAACTAGGTAACATTTGAAATGATAAAATGTTTGGCAAGATATAATATATTTTGTAATTTATTAGAACCATAATTTTGAATAAATTGTTTAGAAAATACATGTATTTGAAAGTTAATAGGTTCTAAGACACTAATAAAAGAGACATTGATGAAACCATATCAGAAGTTGATATACAACCATCATATTTCGTTGTTAAAATATCCCCTTTGTTCATTTGTATTAATACCGATTTAGATATTAATTCTGAATTTTCATTATCAGATCTCCATTTCAACATCCTCATTGTCACTAAATTATTAACTTCAACAAACACTCTTAAATGACTTCTATATCTAACGACAACGCTTATATCGATATAATATGTACCGTTTACGGGTGATGTATAGGAGAAATTATTAAAATTCCACGAATTTTTTGTATCCATGCTTTTTCTATTAAACTCTATCTTGCTAGGCGATATTGTACATGATTGTGAAGATGACATACTTTGCCAGACAAATAGAATAGGTAAACTATCATTCAATTTATATGCTAACAAATAAGTAGGAAAACCTTCAGATGAGTTATGTCCTCCTTCAATAAAATACTCAAAGCTCGTATCATCGTCAATCAAACGAATGAAACTACGAGATAATTGATCGGAACTATCAATGTGTTTACTGTTACGTCTTATTCTTTCAAATGGATTATTTGTTGAATTTATGAAAATGGAAACATTTACATATTCTGTTGAAAGAGGTCTAATGCCAAAGTTAACAAAATAGACTCCACCTTCTCTACTAATAAACCTTCTATTCGAGTTAACAGCCACAAAGTTTCTTATATTTATAATAGAGTCGAGAGCAAGATAGCGTTCATCAGAAGTGATCATTTCGGAACCAGCGAATAAATAATTATTAGATGAATATTTAAATCCTAACCAGGAAGTATCCTTTCCAAAATTATCACCTGCCAAGAATGAAGAAGTCAGTCTTTGGTAAACGTATGGTCGATATAAACTGTTCAAATTGAATAGACAATTTCTAGTTATCAGATCAAAGCTTTTCTCATTTCTTTCTCTCTTTAAATCCATTCTTTTACCCAAATTCTCAAGGGAAAGATGAGTTCCACTATTTCCCCCTATAGTAGCAGTTATAGACATATAATATAAACCAGACTTTTTGATATTTAATGAATTGTCTGCATTATTAAATAAATCGTCTTGATTAACATCAATCGAATTCCATTTAACTCTCTCCTGAGAAAGAATTGCGCTTGTCTCTAAAGTTACCATAAACGCCGGTTGTCTGTAAATGCCACATTCGGGTGTTTGACAATCTTCCACTTCAATTGGTACACCCGGACATTCGGCACCACCGTTTATTGGTGGAGGATTATTGCAGTTTCTTGTTCGAGTTCGTATTCCATCACCTCCACAACTCGGTTCACATTCACCCCAAGGTGACCATTCAGACCAACCTCCTGGTCTTGGACAGTTCGCATCTTCCGCTCGAACACAAAGCTTTATGGTACACGTTCTCGGATTAACTATAGGGCTAAAAAAGAAACCGGGAGGACATTGTTGGGGCCAAGATACTCCATTGTCGCAATGATAATAGATTCTACAATCGATTAAACTCGGAACTGTTGCATTAAGATTTGGTGCACATTCATCAGTTTTTGTATAACACGGATTTGAAAAATCTTTCTGGTTTGGTTCGCATTGATTAGGTTTTTTATGAAACACCTCATTATTGGACGTTGGACAATCAGCATATTCAGGTTCAACACAAGTTATAATTGTACAATCTAGCGTTGTAAATCTGAAGAAAAGACCAAGAGGACAGTTCTGTGGATAAGCTTTACCATCGATACATTGATAATAGGCACCGCAAAATTGCGGATCTCTGTAGGCTCCATCAATTGGTCTGAAGTTGTTGTCAACAGGGCAATTGAATGAAATTGAAGACGTAAAGAGCGTTGTAAAGAAGACTGTATACGAATATTCATAAAGTATATTTAATGAATATGTTAACTGTAATAATAAAATTTAAATGAACATACAAACTATAAATACGTTGCTGTTTTTCATCCTCTCTAGCTACAATTTTATTATTTTGTATGAAAGAACTCGTTATAATAACTTTGAAAATTATCACCAAAAAATTGCCTAAAAGATACGCCCAAGATACTTTTGTTTCTTATCGGTTTTAAGACTTTGTTCTGGGATGTTTTTAATACTAAATATTTAATTTCTACTTTGCAGTTTACTTTCTTATAGTTAAGCATAAATAATTTTATATCGTTATCAGTAATAGGCTAAGATTGGTAAGCAATGAATTCTAAATATGCAGCATTTTGTACTTTCGTTTTGTGAAATTAAATATATTTATCTTTAAGTTGGATTAATTAATTGGTTGATAGGACCAAATCACGCAATATCATCATGTTAAGACCATTCGTTATGTAGTTCAGTAAAACATTTACAAACTTGAATGAAAGAATATGGAAAGGAAAAACTCCTAATCCAGATTTATTAAGCGTAGACAGGTTTACTCGAGACCTGAGTATCTACTTGCTATTCCTACGGATTAAAGCATGTCTCCTATACACCAACAACATATCCTAACAAATCAACCTAGATAGGAAATCTTTAGATTATTTTGGGTACTAGACAGTTCTAGGGTTGTAAAGATGATTATATTGATAATCAATACAGATTTTACGGTCATGAAAAAACTTCCTTTATTGGAATTTCATAAATGTATTGCTGTATATGGGCGGAAACTTATATAGTATATGTTTCAAGTATATTTGAGAGATTTGTTACGGTTGTTCCAATAAAGGAGTCTGTTGACTCGCCTCAACAGCAACCTAGAGGAGAGTTCTACGGTATCCATAATCTGTGCTCCAGAAACTAAAAAGTCAACTACAGATAACGCAGCTAGCTACTTTAGAAGAAAACAAATAAGCATATTGGATAATCTCGAAAATGAGTGATATCGAGTGCAATAACTGCAATATTAGAAAGTATAAAATAAAGGTGGAGAAATTAAAGGAGAAAGTTTAATGATAGGATTTATAGTTGATTTTAATATAGATGATATAGGCTTACCACAGACTGAAGAAATAGAATCTCTTTGTTCCCTTTTGCCTGTTTATCTACTATTTATTAGGTTAGTTGTCGTTTAACCTATGCTAGCATAATAATATGTTATTGGACAGTAAACTGAATAGGATAAACTATAAATATGTATATATCCCAGATGGTCTAGGGGTTAGGATTCCCGGCTTTCACCCGGGCGGCCCGGGTTCGATTCCCGGTCTGGGAGAAAATTTTTTTTTCTCTTATCAATTATATTGGCGACTATTATCAGTTTCAATAGACATTTTCTGTATTTTGTATTTAGAAATCTATACAAATAATAATTTCTAGAGTCGAACATATGAAATGACAGTTAAAAACAGATATTGACACTTTATAGTAATGGCTATAATTGAATTCTACCAAGTATAAGACAGCTATATAAACTATATATATATATATATATATATATAATATATATATATTTTTTATATATACATTACTACATTCAATCTATAAATAGCAACAATACGAATTTCTGTCTCTAAAATCAACAATTGAATAATTGATCGTATATATCGTATTGTTTACAAATTGTTAAAAGTACCAGTTTGTTTTTGTTTAAAAGATAAATGCATTGAAGTTACTTAGTTTAAGTTGACTTTTCTTCTCCTTTTCCTCTTTAGTATGGCAGATAAAAGAAAAAAATCAAAAAGATCTTTTATTGATGGCTTTTTTTTGGTTTAATGAATAATGCAGGCTATTTCCTAATGAAATTGTCCGTTAAATTTGTATGTTGAAGCTTTAACGTTTGAAGTTTCTTTTGATATCTGATAAAACTTTCCAGTTGTTCAGACATATCTGACGATAAATTACAAAATTTCAAATCCAACTCTTTAACATTGCAGACCGATGACGAAATATTCTGGAATAAATATTTTCCAGTATCGGCTTTTAAGTTTGTATAATCTAACTTTAATGTATTGAGTTGAGTTTGATATCCAATGAATCTACCTAAATACATACTCATATTAGATGAGAAATTGCAACATCCAAAATCGAGAAATCTTAGATTGCAGCAGGATGGAGAGATATTTTGAAAGATATTCTTTCCAATATCTCCTTCTAGATTTGTACAAATAAACTCCAACATATCTAGTTGGGTTTGATTGCCGATAAACTTGCCCAATTCTATACTCATTTCCGGTGTTATTTTATAGAATGCTAGATGAAGCTTTTTCAAATTACAACAGGACGATGGAATATTCTGGAGGATATATTTTCCACTTTCACCTTTAAGAATACTGAACTGCCAGATGAGGGTATCGAGTTGTTTTTGATGTTGAATAAACTTGCCTAAATAGGAACTCATACTAGGTGTGAATTTACAATAGGCAAGTTCAAGTTTTGTTACATTACAACAGGATGATGATATATGTCTGAATACACTTTTACCAATGTCACTTTCGAATGTTGTATGGCTAAGATAGATCTTTTTAAGTTGAGTTTGATATCCGAAGAATTTTCCAAGATATTTACCAGTTTCCGATGATAATGAACAACCGTTTAATTTGAATTTCTGAAGATTTTTACAAGATGAACAAATCCCTTTGAAGATATTTTTACAAAAATCCTTTTCAAGGTTTGTATGAAGGAATGAAAGTTTTTTTAAAGCTGTTAAATTTCTGAATATATTCAATTCTTCAATTGATTCAACAAAACACTTGTTCAATACTAATTCTTCAATGAAATTCTCATTTAAATACAACCATACATCATTCATATCGTCGACATTGTATATATGCAATACCTTAATGGGATGATTCTTAAGAAATTCAAAATTTTCCAATTTACTCTTCATTAGGCAGACATTCGTCAGTGTCATAATCCTATATGAAAAGAATTTCAGTTCATCTTCGTTAAGATAATCCCTCTTTTGACAAGCGTAATCGTAAATAAGATTGGCTAGTTGTTGAGGATATACGAAATTATATTTTATGCAAACTTTACTAAGTGGATATAAACAAATAGATATTGCTCTTAAACATTGATTTTTCAACGAATACGATATTTTCTCGTAAGTCTTATCCATCGACGTTTTAAAAAAGAATGTATCAGCCATGGAAACACAGCAGTAGCTGAATTATCGTTATACTTTGCCAAGAAGAAACACACTGTACCAGTTTATTTTTTCGAAAATATCTCTGGAATTTCTTTAATAGGAAATCCTTTGTTAAATTAATAAATCCAGTTATATTTTAGATAATTGATTGAAATTCTATTAATTTTATTAAAGAAATTAACAATATCTATGTAAATATTTGTAAAAATCGATGAAAATCCTCAGCATATATGTTAATATTTTATACAAAAGTATACACTGTATATTGTACTGTTGTTTCCTTATGAAAGTAGGGAAAAAGACAAAAAAGCCTACCAGTTATTACTGTTATAGTTAGAATCATATTTCCAGTTTATTTAATATTCAATATAGTCTACAAAGAGATTGTTTATTCAATTCAATATTCAAGTAAAAAACATACATATATACTTTTACATGTTTGTTTTTTATATTGAAAAAAACAACAACAACAACAATAATGAATATTCATTAAGTCTTTGAGTTAGGCCTAAATTTAATAATCCTAAATCCAATTCTTTCTTGTCTCTAAGACCTATTTAACAACATATACATATATATATATATATATATATATATACAGTATATATATATAGAAAGAGAGAGAGAGAGGGGGGAAAGTTTTGACATTGTTTTTCATCATCAAATGACTAAGAAACGAATTGTTAATATGTTAAAAGAATAAAGAATATATACACACAATCAGTATATAGAGAATATGTTAAAAAAAAGCAAGTTAAAATAAGCAAAAGAAAGTTATTAATAAGAAATATTACATTCGGAAGAAGATAGATAATGATTATGAATTTTCTCAACTTCGCTTATTGGATTTGTTAAATACAAATCTAATTTTTGTAAATTATCCTGATTTCTAATTACTCTTCCCAATGGTTCAATCATTTCCGGTGAGAATTGGCACATTCTCAATGAAAATTCTTTAAGATTATTAAAATTCGAAGGAATATATTTAAAGATATTAATTCCAATTTCATCTTTAAGGTTAGTATTTCCAAAATCTAATTTTTGTAATTGAATTTGTAGGCCTATAAATCTTCCCAAATATTCGCACATGTCGTAAGAAAATTCGCATTTACTCAATTTAAGTATTTTAATATTACAGCATAAAGATGAAATATCCTTGAATAGATTCTTTCCAATTTCACCTTTAAGAATGATATTAGATAATTCCAATTTATTAAGGTTTGTTTGATAGCCAATAAACTTTCCAAGGAGTTGACCAATATCCGATGTAAATGAACAATCGTTTAAATTAAGTTCTTTTAGGGAAGAGAATGCTGGTGGAATATTCCGGAATATATCTCTTCCAAGTTCACCTTTAAGGTTTGTTGAACAAAGATTTAAGACATTAAGCGTAGTTTGCTTTCCAATAAATGCTCCCAGACAAGCGCCAATATCTGATGATAATTTACAACATATTAGTTCGAAGGATGTTAAACTACAACCAGATTGAGAGATGCTCTTTAGGAAACTATTACCAATCTCTTCGTGTGAATTAAATTGCCTTAATGAGAATTTACTTAAATTTTTTACTTGTTTAAAAAAGTCAAACATAACTTTTGAATTAATAAAACAAGATGCAAATTTTAATTCCTCTATATATAATGGATTAACATTCCTTATTAAGCAGTCGAGATCAATAGCTCCGTGGATATATACGATTTGAACGGGATGCGAATTCAAAAATTCAAAACTCTCCACATTTTCGAATTTATAGCCTAGTAGTTTAATTTTCGATAGTGTCATCATCTTTGAGGAGAAGAATAATAAATCATCGTTGCTTAGGTATTTTTTACCCTTTAGAGAATAGTCAAAAATTAATTGACTTATTACGGGAGGAATATGAATGTTTTGAAATTGGTAGAGATGATAGAGATATTTCAAGTTTTTTGTTACAGACTTTATCGAAAGAATCTTCAACGACTTTAATTCTCCTACCAATAAATTATCCATATCTCGATCACGCTCTTTTATTTTCTATAAAACGTTCGCATCACTGAGCGATAATTCAGTAGGATGTGGAACTCTCCTACTGGAACTGATTTCATTTTAACGTTTCGTCTTGACGTTTTTTTTTCTTTCAGTCAATTTAATTTAACGTTAAAACTATATATTAACTTATATTATGTAAATATGTGTACGTAAGCAAAATTTACGAATTTAAAATTGTTAATAATAAAGGGTGAAAAAAAGAAGAAGGTAACAATAGACTTTATTTAAGGCGTATAGCTTTATTTTTATTATGAAAATGGGACACCGTAACATCTTTGGAATATTATTCGACGCAGAGAGAATACATATAAAATCAATATTTGCATACGCTTTCTAGAGTTTCAAAGTAATTAAATTAACTAGGTTGTACGTATGAAAGTTTTTCATAATTACAGTCGAAAAGTATTCATATATGTACCATAAACTTATTTTTTATTATTTCATTTTATCGCTCAAAGACTAATGATCATTTATTAAATGGTATATATTAAGTAGTAATATACAAATGGATACAATTGAGAATTCTTGGAATATATTCTTATCATTAAGAAGTCAATGTTTAGAATTTATAGCAAAAAATTTGCTCAATATTCGTAAACTTTGCCAATTTCATAATTTTATTGTTCCCCATCAATTAGGTGATCTTATCTTTGAACACGCGAATAGAGAAAATGAATTTTTAACTAAAGATGAATTGAAATTATTCTCATCGAATATATTAACATTAACAAAAGTGAATATAGACAAGGAAAAATTTGGTAATGAAGAGAATTTTGAATTTTTAAAAAATCATCCAATTTGCAGTTTTCATACTTCAAGTTTTGATTATTTAGATAGTTTAATGTTGAATATCGATGCAAAGAATATCAAAGAATTATCATTATACAATTGTTCTATAAAATCGAGTCAAGTTTCAGAGTTTTTTAAAGCGGCTTCTTCGTTGAGAAAGTTGAAAATTAATAGTATGAACCTTGAAGGTGAAGAATGTAAAAATATCTTTAAAGAATGCCTTCCGGTATGCTGTAATTTGAAGGAGATTCACTTGAATTTTTGTCAATTATCACCGGAAGTTGGTGAATATATTGGAATATTTATAGGTCATCAAACTCAATTAAGTATATTAAATCTTTCGAATACAAACCTCGAAGACGATATTGGTAGATGTATGTTTGAAAATATTACGCCATCTTGTTGCGGTGTAAGAGAATTGAATATGAAAGGTTGTAAATTCTGTCCAAAGATGAGCGGATACCTGTGCAAATTTATAGGATATCAGACTCAACTCGTTACGTTGAATCTAGAAGATACAAATCTAAAAGGAGATATTGGAAGAAATCTCTTTCAAAACACGTCTCCCTTGTGCTGTAATATTGAAAAATTGTATCTTATCTACTGTAAATTTTCACCGGAAATGAGTGAACATTTAGGTAAATTTATCGGAAATCAAAAATACCTTAAAGTAATTAATTTTAAAGGAACAGACCTTAAAGGAGATATTGGAAATAATATCTTTAGAGATACAATTCCTTTATCCTATAATCTAAGAAGTATTGACCTAAGCCATTGTGAATTTTCCAGTGAAATGAGCGAAAATTTAGGAAAGTTTATTGGAAGACAAATTCAGTTGACAAGGTTAAAATTCTTTTTATCAAATCTTAAATCGGATATTGGTATGAATATTTTTCGTAACATTTCAAAGTCTTGCTGTAATTTAGAATATTTGAGTTTAAGTAGTTGTTACTTGTCGTTGAGAATGAGTAAATATCTTGGAGAGTTTATTGGACGACAAACAAAATTGAAAACGCTCCTTCTAGACGAAACTAATATTAAAGATGATATTGGAAAGAATATATTCCAGAATACACCATCGTCCTTTTGTAATTTGAATGAACTCCATCTTAATGGTTGTAATCTTACGGCCGATATGAGTGGATGTCTTGGTTCGTTTATCGGTAATCAAACTCAACTAGAAATTCTTTTACTTATTGGAATTGACCTTAGAAATGATATTGGAAAAAATTTGTTTCAAAGCATTTCGTCCTCTTGTAATAATTTAAAGAAATTGATTTTAAATTATTGTCTCTTCTCTCAAGATATGAGTCAACATCTCGCAGTATTCATTCAACGTCAAAAGCGTCTAAATACTTTTGAATTTTTCCAGACCAATCTCAAAGGAGATATAGGAAAAGATATCATTCAAAGCATTCCTCCATCTTGCCGTAATTTAGGAGGTTATTCAAATTTATTTGTTTAATGGAGAAAATGGCGAAAGATTTTACGGAGAAGAGAGATTTTCGAGAAAAGCGCTGGATTTACATTGAAGAAGAGAATGAACATGTAAAAAAAAATTAACATATTTAATGTTTTTTCTATATTTTCAAAATTTATTATTTACATCATCAAATCAAAATTGATAAGATAACATAAACACATTGCTTTTATATACAGATTTAATCTTTGAAAATATCATTTTAACTAAGGTTTAACTTGGAGTTTGATAGCAGCAATAAAAGAATAATATACAGCACAGCAAATCTTGCAAAATACTTATGAAATATGGCAAAAAGTACAATTAATTATTGTTCCCTTCAGAAAAACAAGAAATGTTAGATCTGTCACTAGAATAATTTGAAGTATCGGGAAATCTTCTACTCATCTTATCTTTGATTTTTAGCCAATATTTCGGTACATTCTCCCCGTCGAATAAAATATTAAACATAATTAAATGTTGATTGTTCAACTGTTTATTAAGAAATTTCCAAAATTCATCAGATAGTTCCGAATTGCCACTTAGATCCAACAAAGTCAGTTTTTTAGGTTTGGATAAATAATTAGTTATACCATTTAAAATTGTATCGTTCAAGTTGCATTCCATCATATAAATTTCACTTATATGCTTTGAAAATTTATGCAAAACCGTTAGAATCTTTTCACCAGATCTTCCATTCAATTTATTTTCACTAATATCAAAAATTTGTAAATATTCGAAATATTTCAAAGATGTAATTAACGAATTTGTAATTGAAGAAGTGAAATCACATTGAGATAACTTTAATACTTCCAATTTTCGATTATTCTTACATAATCCATTTAATAGAACTTCTCCGTATTCATCAAAGAGTTCATTTTCACTAAGATCCAAAAATTTCAAATTCTTGTTTCTGTTAAAACTATCTTCTAAGTATTTTAAAGGTTGATCAAGACAGCTCAATTTAATATCTCGTAATTCAATGTGAAGAAGGCTTTTCTTTTTGCTCAAGCAGTCAATAATCTCTTTAGAAAAGACGCTAAAATCATTTTTCATAATATTTATAACTTCTATTTTGTCTAATTTCATTAAAAATTCAACCAAGTAGCTATCTTCTCCTGGCATTAAATTGTTGTCGTACAAATATAATTCACGAAGTTGGCTCTGCCGTTCATTCAATGAAAGCAATAATAGTTTACATACTTCGTCACCTATCTTATTTTCGCTGATTGAAAAGCTAGTTAGATTTGAACAATTCACCAAAACTTTACAAATCTCAAGATTGTCGAAACCCTCTGGACTTATCCTCAAAGATCGAAGACCTAATTTTTCTAATAGTTTCGGATTAATTTCTTCCGATTGAAATAGTCTATTTGTATTGCCGAATGTACAGAATGCAATATCTAATGTCCGTAGAGAAGGAATTGATTTTAACATATCACAGAATGTTTTGTTATTAATCTCTTCCTGTTTACGTAATCCTAGTTTTTCTATTACACTTCCTGGACGAGATATAATGGGGAATATTGATTCACAGTTTAGATTTTCAGTGTTTAAACATCTGCCGATTTGGTCAATCTCATTGCATGTTTTGCATTTTCCCAATTCTAAATATTTTATTTTCGTATTTTTTTCAAAGATTTTTAGAAAACTATCTTGATTCCCTTGTAAATCAAGAGTACTTTTCCAGAACGATAACTCTTGAATATTACTGCAATACTCTCCAATTTTTGAAAGAACTTTGAAACCTACTGTTGACTTATCTAAAAATAAAATACTCAAACAATCCTTACTATTCTGTATTACTTTTGAGAGATTGTGCGTTACATCAATACATCCGTAAGAGATAGATAAAGTTTTCAATTTCAGCCCTCCTTCGTGGATTGTTTCCAGTATAGCATTCCAACTGGAGCTTGTAAATTGTTGTGGTATGAAAGTTAACCTATATAATCGCAAAGTTTTTATATTTTCCATTGTTTTCATAAATGAAATATTATTCCAACAGTTAAAAAATATTACATCAAGAATTGACAAGGAATGATGCAATCCCTTGCTGTAGGACACCTTTGATAATAACTCCAAATGTTCATCATTCAGAACTATATTCTGAATATTCACAGACCATATTTCAAATTCTTTATTCTGTAATATCTCAAGAAAATATTTCAAATATTTAGACGGCGTGGCGTCTTCATTAATATCCAAAATGTTGAATTTCAAAGTAAAATCAATAATGGAAATAATTTCTCTCAAAGCCGATAAATTAAAAATATCATAATCAATAAACTGTACGAGTTTAATATACGCAAAGTTTTTGCTTTTATCCGAAGAGAAAAATGTTGAGTTCTTTTTGCAGTTCAAAACTTTCAAGTTCACTAATTTTGAAATGCAACTTTCGATTGTCAACAATAGACTTTTCTTTAATCCATTGTTATAAATATATAACTCTTCTAATAAGTTTGAATTATTAGAAATGAGGTTCAGTATATTTTCCATTTCACCGTTAAGTGCATTCGACGAGATATCTAGTATTGTCAGAACTTGAATGTTTATTATACGGATAATAGTCTCGTGTATACTTTCTCGCCTACTTTTAAAATAATCTCTTAAGATGATCTCTTTTGGCCAATGATCTTTCGTTGTTTGAAATTGTATACATGCCAAACCGTTTTTAGACAGGTTAATTCCTTGCAAATTAGCAAAAGTATCATCTAAATCTAATCTAATGGTACCTTCTAAAAAGCAATCTTCCAAAGATAAATGTATCAAGTTCATTGATAAACTTCTCATATTAGATAAACTTTCATATCCAGTTATACCAATTTCATTTCTACTCAAGTTTAAAATTTCCAAATTTTTTAATTCCCTTAAAAATTCCAGATTATCGTCTAATTGACAATTTTCTAATTGGAGATTTTTCAATTTGGATAGCTCTGAGATTTTACCCGTCATAATGCTCCCAAACTCGTTACAAAATACCGAATCAGACAAATTTAGATATACGATCGTTGAAGGAAATATTGCGGTATCTTCTTTGATATTTTCTCGCAGAAAATGGCAAGCAGTTAATTCTAAATGTGTCAAGTTGTTATATTGATAACGGATTGACTTATTTCCCAATAACGACTTGATATTATTGCCAGACAAGTACAACTTCTTTAATGATCGACTCTCAAAAGGTATTCTAGTATCTAAATCAGTTATAGAGCATTGACTCAGGTATAATTCAGTCAAACTTGTACATTTTCCAATTGCGTGATACAAGTAAACCATGCCTTTACTTTCTATTGAATTCTTGCTTAAACTCAATACTTGTAATTTTTCTAATCTTTTCAAACATTCCGAAAGATTACTAATTCCCATCGACGTTATAGTACAATCATCAAAGTATATTTCTGTTAATTTATTATATTTGTTGCTGTTTATACAACTTACAAATTCAGTCATAATTCCATCTGTTTGAACAGTTAATATAGTAATATATATGTATTTTAAGAAATAAGTAAGAAAGTATTTACCTCTTATAGTATTCATAGAAAGATTTAAAGTTTTTAGATAAGGACACGATTTCAACCATTTAATGATTATTTCTAATTCTCTCTTTTGCAAGTTGCAATTGACTAACGATAACTTTAATAATTCCATTTTCACTTTTAAATCTAATTCGTTGTCTAAACTCTCTTTTTCAATGTAATTTCCTTCAATTTCAACAGTTTCTAATTGTGGATGAGTTTTAAGAAATATCAATAGATCTTTAAGAAATATCGGTTTTCGAAGACCTTCAATTACACTGATATGTTTCAGATTGGGAAGTCGTTCGTCAACGAAATGCTCAAAATCAAATGTTACATTTGAAAAGTATATTTCAACAATTTGCGAATCAAGTTGAAAAAGGAAATGAATAGCTTGCGGAGGAATTCTTAGATTATGAAGTGAACAAATTTCATTTTTCATTTCAATTATTTTTAATATTTCGTCTGCAATATCAGTGGTTTTCTTTAAAATGATAGGATATATTTGACACATATTCAGATAAATTTGCGGATTTATGGTTCGTAAGAACCTAAAGATATTCGCCTTTTGGATACAATCTATATCTTCTTCCTGAATATTATCTTTCATGTCGATTTCATTTTGTTGCATTGATATATATTTGGCGGCGAAATATTCTTCGTAAATACAATGCATTTCTAGCATTTTGCGTTGATTTCGATTGTTAATATAGCGGTAAGGCAACGCTTCAGGTTGGTTATAAAAAATATTTCTAAAGGCAGTTTTACCAATTTTCCTAATAGTTGTTTCGTCTTCGCCAAAATCTAAATCAAGTATATGTTCATATATTTCACCAATATCTTTCAATTCGTTAAAGTCTGTACATCTCATCCAGAGATATTGTAGCAAAACCGCAAAAAGCGGTATCAAGCATTTATTATACAAAATAGGATTCTGTTGAAGATTATCGATCAATTTCAAGGCACAATACTCACTAGACTCAATGCCTCTAGGATTACTTATATGAACGAAAGCTATATTATATGTCTTTTCACGAAGTAGCCTCTTAAAGAATATTTGTAGAGAATTTTGGGAAAATCCTTTAATTTCCATACACGAATCGCAGATATCATTAATATTATTCACAGTGCAGCCTCTTTTAAAAATGATAACTTTATCTGCCCAAAACTTATTCTCTCTTATTCGTTGAATTATTGGTTGAGCGAGACAACTTTGAGCATTATCTAAAAATAGAATCTTTTTCCGTTGAAGATTCGTTTCATATCTGAAATAGTCTTCAGCTCCATTGAAATCTTTCGTTACTTCTGCCAAGAAGTCATCAAGTCTCTCCGACCAATATCTTTGATTATGTTTCTCCTTAAAAATGAAAGGAATAAAGGCGTCGTGAAGATCCTCTTTTTTACACCATAAATCAATCATTCTATCTAAATAGAAACTTTTACCAACGCCATCTTTTCCTTTAATGAGAAAGACATGTTTGTCAGATTTAGATTGAATTTGATCCCAAACAAATTGTCCGTCGTCATTCTTCTCATCTGAAATAGTTATGTCTGTGAAAATGTCTTCCATTCGATATTCAATGCCATCTAGATATAGTATGTTTATTTTGGTCAGTCGTTCGCTGTGAAATCCCTTGATGAGATCACATATCGTTTGTTCTGTATAGTTCATCATAAAAGTGTTATTCTGTATATTTGTCGAAGAAGTTTTTGGAGCTCTGGTAATAAGTTTTAGGCGATAGTTGTTTCTGGATTGGCAGGTGGCTAGAACTGAACTGTATTTTTTCTTCTTATTACCAAATTCTTTATTCTGAAAAATTTAAGTCGCAACAAAAATTCTCTTTGGGCATGATTGAATTAGATCATTTATTCTAGAATAAAAGTTTTTATTGTCGTATGATTTATTCCTTTGTATAACCTTTGTATATAACCATAGAGGTTATAGATTCATAGAGAAATTCTGACTGTTAGCTTATTTTTTATTAATCCTGCCATAATAAACAATGAAAATTTTACAGTCCCAATAAGATGTTTCTGCAAGGGTTGTTCTTAGATTGAAAAAATATTTTTATTTATAAAATTTCAACAAAACCTGGGAGAAAAAATTTCGTACTTCGAGTAATTTAAAGATCCAAATCTGGGCAAGTGCAACCTTAGAGGAGGGAGATATATAGTATATATAAGAGACAGGTAGAGGTATAAAAACAGGCTTGTACTCGTAAGTCGAATTTCATAATATCTGTTCGGGAGAACAGACCTCTTCATTTATATATTATTTCGTTAGATTAAGCTTTTTTTCTCAATAAATTTTATACCGATGACTCTGTCAGTCAGAGGAGACTCGTGCAACTTCTTCATCTCCCCCTTTCTCTTTGTATTGAACTTTTCAACAACTTTTTCAATTCTCTCCCATAATTCTTTCTTATTAGGGTGACCATTGAAGAATATTTTTATTCCTCATTTTCAGAAAACTTTATTACAGTATTTGCCTTATTGCAATGCGCATTATCCAGCAGGAAAATGAACCTACGCTAAATTTTCTCACCAAAGAAGAGTATGGCTCAGAATAATAATCAGTTTCCAATTGGTACTCTCTCGCATCCAATTGGAACATAGGATTGCGACTTTGTTGACAGGCTCCTTCTTAAAAGGGAAAATGACAGTTATATTCCTTCTCATCGACAACCAGTGACCATAATTTATAGTTGAGTGAAATCATCGAATTAAAGAGTTATGTTTAGCAGTATAACCTTGAAATGTGAAAAGAAAAGATATCAAATGTGAAAAATTGCATACTTCAGCATAAAAATCAAGTTCAGTGGATTATTTTTACCAATCCCTAACAGTTAAAAATACGTATTTTTGTCTAAAAAAGTACAAGATACTATAGGTCACATTGACCTTATAATTAGCGTAATTCTTCTTGATTAATTTAAATTGTGTAAAAGTTTGTCTTCCATTCGATTACGGGAAAGAAAAATCTAATAGTTATACTACAAGTATTCAACGTACGATAGTTTTAATTCTATTAGTAAACATATAACTAAAAATACTAATAACGTAGACCGATATATTTCCAATGAAATTAGTCATGAATTGAAGAGAAATATTCTAGTTCCTGGTGAAGGTCGTAAGGTCACGCACGTCGTTGGCTAGATATATTGATTATCTTAGCTGGGTTTGAAAATTGCTAGGAGACGGTTGAAACTCTTTATATATTTCGATATTATTTAAGTTTGCCTTAGTATATAAATTTATATACAGTTAGACTGAAGTGAACTTTTTATACTTTCATCTACTTTCTTAATCATGGAATAAACTTGATATTTCCTATAAAATGAATCAATTACTTAACATTGTAAGGAAATATTCTCCTCTTTCCAGAATTGATGATACAGGATTTGGTAGACTGCAAAATGATATAAATTGCGTTGTTTTCAACGCTCCAGTCTCTTATCAAGACGTTATTAATCTTATACAATGCTGTAAATATGAAATTTGTTCTAAGGATGGTTTTACTTCAAATTCCTGCGGAGAACAAGCGTTAAACAGAGTTGTTCTATTTTTAGTTACTGCAATAGCTCAGTATGTTATTCGAGTATTATTTTTTATTTTACATATTTGAAATAGTTGTTATTGTTTTTAAAACAGGAATTTTTCAATGAATATTCAATACTTATATGGAATTTATAAAGAATTATTTGATGTTTATATATATGTATACGAAGGAGATTTTATATCGTCAGGAGTCTATCAAACTCTAAATTTTCTTACAAATAATCCATACCAAGACCAATACTTGCAGGTATTAATAACATATTAATATTCAATTGGTAATTTATTCATATGTCCTTCTCTTAAAGACTCAATTCAATGAATTTTATATAAGAAAATTACTGAAGGCGTTATGCCAACATTTTCAACCAAAAGCACAAGATAGAGCAGTTGGAGAATGGCAGTCGAACTTTTGTAATAATCTCTATCATATTTTCAACCTAATGTCGTACGTATAGACACATCTTGTCGTATTATCTCTTTCTTATTCTTAATGTTTACTTTAACAGAAAGGTTGAACTTGAAAAGTGTAAATATGACATTACAGAAGCATTATTATATTGGACTGATATAAGTATGGGATGCCCAGAAAATGATCAATCAAAGCAGCTTATCTTTGATTTTTCAACAAATATGATTGTTTTTTTAGACTGTACTGCTAAATTGATAATTCAATATCCAAATAGCCATTCACTTTATTATGTAAGAATTTAGAAAGATAAAATAGCAATTTTATAATAAACAACTACTTTTAGGGTCTAAGCGATGAAGCCTTCGATTCTCTTTTAACAAGGATTCAAAGGATACTACTAACGCCAGATTTTCCTCAAAATTCTAACGTAAATAATGCTATGATGCTATTAGTGCAAGATTGTTTGGCAGACTTTGTCCTGTAATAAATAAATAACAGAATTCTTCAGTTATAGTTCAATTTTTCAGAAAAAGTACAGATAATAAGATATTATGTAAGATTTATGGTTTATATACAAAATTACGTACGTCACCAAAATGGGAAGTACAAAATTTAATAGAAGACATGGAGGAACCATTCAGTGAAAAGATGAAATCAATTAAAGTAAGTTTAAAAGTGTTGAAATATTAAAAAAAGAAATTATACAAGTTTGAATTGTTTCTTTAGTTGACAGATTATGGAATGAAAAGTGAATTTGATATATTCCTCGATGAATTAAAATCATTAAATAACACACGAGCAGTAAATGAATTTGTTCAGAGACACGAGGACAAATTTAAGGAAGAGTATCTTCCGATTTTAAGGTAGTAGTATAGGTTATGAATAATATTCTAACGCCAATTTATCACTCTCTCTTTCTCTCTCTCTTTAGTAGCAACGTCGACAAATTTAAAGAATATTCATTAAATCTAATTGCAAATCCTTATTCATACATTTGTTGTAGTTTTTTTGAAAAATATGTTGCCAAGAGTAAATTAGTAAACTTTAAAGAAAATCCACAATTATTAAGTTTTCTATTCGATGAAATGTATAAAGCAAACTGCGGCTATTACCAAGACTCTAAAGATGGATTTTGGGCAATTGGTAGAGGCATTCTAGGCGCAATTGAGTAGGTTAATTAATTTTCTAGATTCTTTAACGGAATATTCATAATCAATAATAATTTATTATTAGAAAACAAGGCTTACTACAAAAGTTAAAGAAAGATCTATATGAATTTGTTGATAGAATGTACGATCTTCCTTTGCATCCTTATCATTATAGCGTTTGCTTTATTTCTTATAAACTTGATTGGAAGGTAAAATATAGAAATTATTGTAATAATAATTAATAAATAACCAATAATTAATCTCTTTTAGGGTGAATTCGATAAACTTGATAGAATTTTGAAAAAGTTAAAAAAACTATTGGAAAGAGATCATAGTCATTTCTATAAAAATGATATAATTGTTCAAGTGACCCAATTCGTCTTTGAATATTTTCATAATTCAAATGGGTACAATACCGTTTAATTCGTAATATTTTTAGTTTTTCTAATAATTATTTATCTACAGCAAAAATAAAAAGATCATTGAATTTACAAGCGATTTTGCAGATCTGTTTAACTATTGTTTTACATTACCTTGGGCGATTGATTTAAAAGATGAGAGGTTGGAAGGTAAACACGTCGATCTGGAAAAGAGGAGAACGTTAGCTGGACAAATTTTAATACATTTTATGAGAGATATTTACAAAACAGTTAATAAAGAGAAATCTAATTCATTCTTTATAAATATTCTCTATATGTTTCATATTTCAGAATAGAGATTTCGATGATTTCATAAAACCGATTGTTGGCACTGTAAAACGGATTAAAAATCAGAATGATGATGAAATTTTACAGGTTATTATTCCTTTTCAAAGAATAGAGATATACGTAATTTTAATATAATAGGAACATGCTGCCACATTTTTAAGAAGCATTGCAGACAAATTAGACCTTCTCGGCAATGAAGCTGGCGAAGAAATCATCAAGGAATATGTGGAGAGTCGTGATATTAGCCAATTCCGTAAGAGATATATACATATAGAGTATATATACATGCTTTATTATTTGTTTACTTTAAAAACAGCCAATATTGTTGATATGTATCCCAATTATTGCGATGCTATCTACAAAAATCTTGAAATTTTTGTGGATATTGTAAAGGAAGATGAAGAGCTAAGTACATGGAACATGACTCAATTATTGAATAAGATAGTTCACAATGACTATGCCAAAATTAATAACAATATCTTCAAATATATGATGAGTCTTTTCGATTCGAAATATGGTCCGTCACTTATAGAAGCTTATAGAAAATTAGCTACAGCTCGATTTAGCTACTTTCAAGACTATCATACTAAAATTATGAACACTGTTAAATCTTACGAATATGGTAGTTCTTACTTACCTCTTTTACCAGACTTATGTCAAACTGAGCAACTAACCAAATCTTATACCAAATTGGTCTGGGATAAAATAAAAGTTACTGCTCCAGAATATGTTAATACTGTATTCGCTGCTCTAAGAGAAATTGCTTTACGAAATAAAAGTGCTGTTGCTGTTTACAAATCAGATTTGGAAAAGATGAAAGATAATCCTAAGATTCATGACCAAGTTCTTGGAATTTTGGATGTTTTAGAAGGTAGAACTTTGGAAAAAGTAACAAATGATATTGATGAACAAAGAGAGGACATTGAGAATCTCGATTCCAGAGTCACTGAAAATGAAGAAAAGATTGTTGTTCTCGATGCCGATGTTAAAGAAACAAAGAAAGATGTTGCTGCTGTAAAATTAGATATGAAGGAAGCAAAGAAACGCCTTGGTCAAATTGAATATACAATGAAAGGACTCGACGAAAGAGTTGAACAACTAAATCATATGACTCTATCACACGCTCCAGCATGGTCTCGTCATGTTTCAGAGTTAATGAATGTCAAGTCTGATAATGATTGGAGACTTCTCTCTATGAAATTGAACTATTCTAATGATGATATTCGAAATTGGGCTACTCAACCAGATCCTTGTCTGTCAATGTTGGACGAATGGTTCGCTACACACAAAACTAGAGAAGCTACTTTTGCTATTTTAAATAATTTGAAAGAAATGAACAGACTCGACGCTGCAGAAATTGTGGAAAATGCTTTAGCTGATGTAAAAAATGTTGTTAAAGATGATAAAGATGAAGAATTTGAAAAACCTGAAATATTCCTCAGCTATCAATGGGGACATCAACAAGAAGCTAAAATGTTAAAGAAACACCTAGAGATGGCCGGCTTTAAAGCCTGGATGGACATTGGTCAAATGGGTGGAGGCGATAAACTATATGCAAAAATTGATGATGGTGTAAGATCAGCTAAAGTAATCATTAGCTGTGTAAGTGAGAAATATGCAAAATCAGCCAATTGTTGTAGAGAAGTAAATCTATCAACTAACCTTGGTAAACCAATGATTCCTTTACTTATGGAAAAACTCCAATGGCCGCCTGCTGGTCCGATGGGTCCAATTATGTCGGAATATCTATATGTTCAATTCTACAAAAATGGAGGCATGCAAAAAGGTGATACTGTATTTTGGATGCCTCCTAAATTTCAAGAGCTACTGATGCAAATTCGGTACTATGTTGTTCCTGATATGAAATTAATAACTAAAGATTCTCCATATGCTGGATGGATGAATCCACCTGAAGAAATTATAATAATACCAAAGAGAGAGCAAAAGGCTATAGAATCTAAAAAATCAAATACTAAAAATGAGGCAGAAGTGATAAGTCCCGATGTTTTCATCTCTTATCAATGGGATAAACAACCTCAAATCAAACGCCTATATAAGAAGTTGAGTGGATTGGGATATCATTGTTGGCTGGACATAATGCAAATGGGTGGTGGAGATTCACTATTTGATAAAATTGATAAAGGAATCAGAGGTTGTAGAGTTGTTATTTCCTGTGTCACACCGAAATATGCTTTAAGTGCTAATTGTCGAAGAGAAGTTTCATTATCGGGAGCATTAAATAAACCAATCATACCATTATTATTGGACAATATGAAGTGGCCTCCAGAGGGACCAATGTCAATGGTATTTACTCAACTGTTATATATAGGTTTTCACAGGAAGAAAGATGATAAACTATGGGAAGGCGATGAATTTAATCAATTGATTTCGAAAATTGATATGAATGCACCTGGTGGCAAAAATGAGCAGCAATCATCTAGCAAAGCAATAAACAATGAAACTGAAAAGAAAAATACACAGACAAAGAAAACGGATGAAGAGTCTAAGAAAGAAGAGAAAAATGTTGGAGATGAAGCCAAACAGCCTGAACAGTCTCCTCAACCTAAACAAAGAGATAACTCTGAACCCTCATCTCATAATACTAACAATACCCCTCCGCCTAAAACATCATCGACATGTAATATTCTATAACTGTTATTTCATATTTCTTTAATTCTGTTTAAATGGATTTCTCACAACAACCTCAAATTAAAGTGCAGGGTTAGGTTTGGGACAAATTCAATTTCATTCAGTAAGAAAACGAAAGAAATAACTTTATTGAACGTTGGTTTAGGGATAGGGTCGGAATCTATAAAAACGGGATGTATAATATCATAGTTTGATAATCATGTGAATAGGTTGTGAATCGTAACTATTTATTAAAATTGATAAAGAAATAAGAGGATTAAAGGTTAAAGAAGAGTTAACATTTTAAAAAGTAGTAAAAAACTATTAGAGCTAATATTTAAAGTGTTTTGAATAATAAACCTATACAAAAAATTTTATTAAAATATTTTGGAATTGTATTAAACTAGTAATAAAAGAAAGTACTCCACATACCTTTCTTAAATGATATGAAAGAAGAAGCCATTATATCAAGTAAAAGGTTGATTAATGTTTAGTTGGAATGAAAATTATCAGTCAATGTTAAATCTTTGATTAAAATCTTCAAAGATATATGCAAACAGTAGGAAATCAAGTGTTCTTTCTTCAGATAAAGAAATATAAAGAAATTATAAAAATAAATTAGTTTTGTTAGTAGTCTCTATAGTTGAGGGGAAGTTATATTAAAAATATTCTATTGAAGACGAGCTTGCTTTGAAGCTGTTTGAATACCCATAAAAAAGTTTGATGTCAAGTTTACATATGATCTAAAAATTCGTATCTTTGTATTTGTAGAATTATATAAGAGATTTCCAACCGCCCCATTCGCTATAAAAGACTTCTTTGTATACAAACTCCCTCGATTTTTTATGTAATTTTAAGAAATATGTATCATTTCAAGGTGAAAGAAGGTGAAGAATTTTCCCTCCATTTGATATACGCGACACTTAGAGTAAGGAATGTAAAATATGAACATTTTATTCTGAAAATTCAATTTTCTTCTCGTCAATTAACTATTTAAAATATACAAAAAAGATAAAATGCCATTTCAAACAAACACATATACTATGGAATTTGCATTTACAGTTTATCTGATATGTCTGTTATTTATGGTAGTCTTTTGTAAACTGTTAATTAGAAATTCTGCAGATTAACTAGATCTTGAATATTCAACAGCCAGCAAAATTGATTATCTTGTTTAATCTCTTTTGCTGTTGTTAATTTCTTATTGACTCTTAAAGTAGTAGTTTTGTCAGTAGATTCGCTATTATTTACCATTCGTCTTCCTTGACGTTTGAAAAATTCAAATTGACTTTTACCAACTTGACCAAATAAACCTTCAACATTTTGGTAATCGTTTACAGCAATTGAATAAATCTCAATATAGTAATTCAATTTATCGAGTTTTAGTTTTCTAAACGTTATCTGCGGATATCCGCCAGTTGAATTTGGATCAATTAACTTTATCTTCAAGGTATTATCATAGCAGAAAAGAGAAATTTTTGGCGAGTTCAACTGAAATACCTCTAGACAATCATTCCAGTCAATACTATAATATTTATCAACAATTATTGCACGTGGACTTATTTTAATATTCATAAATGTAGAATTAATAAATACATTGCTGATTTTCCCTTGCTTTGAGAGGAGAGCTTGAATAGAGAATTTCTTTTGACGATCCTGATAAAGTTTTAAATGCCTCTTCTTACAAAATGAACTTAAATAGTAGCAAATATCAGAATATACTCCATGAGAGAAATCATATACAGTTTGCATAAAGAATGGTCCAACATCGTACTTGGGATTTCGTTTTGCAATCATAACTGATAGAGTTTCTTCAAAGATTCCTTCATTAAAATTACAAGTGACTTTAATAGTTTTATTCTCATGGTTTATAACATTTTCATCGAGTAGTATATCAAGTGTAAATATAGCCGATCCAGTTAAAGGAGTTATAATAGCTGACGAAGCTCCAACTAATGTAAAACATGGATCCAAATAAGCTGAATCAATTCTATAAGAAGAAAGAGAAGAAGATAAAGATAAAGATAAAGATGAAGTATTTAAATATTAATATATTTACCGACAAAATAAATCTTTATTTACATATTCAATAACTACATTCAAACTATCTCCAGAATATTTTACTGTTTTTCCATCTATAGATATTATTGCCGATTTTGTATTGATTAAAACAAACAGTGTACCTGTATTAATAAACAGCAAATAATAATTATAATATTAGCGGGAACAAATTGTGTATTAAACTCACCAAAAATAATTAAAACGGGTGATAATCTCATTGTATTTATACGCTTTACAAACGAGTTTGAAGAGTGTTTCTTACTGTGTTCTGTCAAGCTTTTATCAAGGATATCTAAAGGAAAACGAAAGAGTAGAACACAATAAACGAAAATATTATTTAGCTATTCATTGTCTATTTCGAATTCATCTAGGGCCCATAGAATATCTTTAGGGTGATTGTCGGGCGAAAAAAGGAGTGAGTATAATATGTTTAGATAACATACATTCGAATTTTTCCTTATTTAGATTTCTATAAAGTTGAAAAGTTTAAGTTGATGGCCTCTATAGTTCTATATTTAACAATTCGATATATTTTATATAAAATAAATATACAATACTTATATAATAGGCCTAATGAATGAATAAATTAATTATTTAATCGTTAATTACAAATTCTAGTTTTGGAAGAAAATAAAAAATTGAGATTAATTTTGTAATCTAAAGAGATAAAACGTTATCTAAAACATTGGAAAAAGACGAATTTAATAGAGAGAGAGAGAGAGAGAGAGAGAGAGAGAGAACAAAATAACTAAACATCCCGTTACCTAGTTATTTATCGGATCAGACTATTATCCAGAGTTATAAAACAGTAAGGAAAGAATTGCATCCGTGCTACTTCGCTATTGAAATGTCGAGCCAAAATGAATTGATATTATTGGGCACCTCTCATTGGTTACAAGTTGTGTTGATCTTATCTATAGCGATCTTATTGAATACGGCGTCCGATAGAGAAAAACATCGGCTAGGAAAATATTAAGTTATTAAAGTATACCTGGACATTTAAGAAGAGAAGTGCTAACTCTATTTATAAAGGAAATATGAATGATAAATATTATTATCTATTGTATTTGAATATAGTTTTATAAGAGGTTTTCGCAAGTGTGGTGCTGGTGATCATATTTCCTTTTAGCTAAATTTACTTTAATTCAATTTATTTTAATAGAAAAATACTTTACATGTTTACTTTTTCACAGACAAACATCTATTCAAAATTCTTATGAAAATATTTGTTTAAATATTTAAAATAGTTTAGTCTAGGATTGTATGAGAGATATTTAATTTTCAAGTAATATTTAGTATCTTATACAAGATTTATTAATTATATTACATTTACATCTGCTTATTGAAACAATTGATTGTCGTGATTCTTGTTTCATTTTTTCTTTTTTCATCTCTTCCTCTTTCTCTTTCTCTCTATCATTTCTATTTTTATCAGCCTACTACAACGTTAATTTTATAAATACACATTCACTTTTACTCTCTAAAAATACAATTATACTATTCAAACAAGTAAAAAGAGATAAGAAACGAAGCAAAACGTTCCTTTTGTTGCAAATGGGCGTGTGCTCTTTTCTATATTGAAATGAAGAAGAGAGCATAGATATCTTACTTTCAAAGTATAAAAGCCAAGAGTTCAAGAAGTAATCCTTTTTACCAAGTGCCAGATATAAATTATACATGTATGCTGTGCATATATGTTTGATTTGTAGCTCAGCCTCGCGTCTAAGTGAGATTGAATCACTCTAAAGATATCTATATATATATACTGTATATATATTTAAATTACGTTATTACAAACGAGTTTCAATGGTAATTGTATTCTCGAGAAGAGAAAAGTTAATCTTCCTTATATTGTCTGATCTCATACGTTGAATAATTACGAAATATAACTACTGTCAGAGGAAGAAAATAAAATAAAATATGGTTATGATATTACAGTACTTCTATTTATGACTAATCGAGTTTTTAGATAGAAACACGACTCAAGATTTTGGAATGTGTGTATGAATATCAATTCACAGTCGTTAATGTTATGTCTCTCTCTTTTGGCTTTGCAATCTGTCTATACTCACATAATAAAATACAATCAATTTATTTTATATTTACTGTTCATGTTATAAAATAAACGTAAAACTTATTCAATTCGGTAGTATAATAACACTTAAGATCATTTCATGTTCTCAAAGTATATAGACAATACATATTTGAATGTTCTTTCTCTTCGATATTCAAAAAAAGTTAAACACTTGTTGAACAATTGTTCAATGTAAAATTTTCAGATCTACTGCAATCGACTTTGTCAAAGTCAGCTTTTGCAGTATTCGTTGTTGGTAATATAGAGAAATATAAATGTGTATTTAGGTAAGACGAGGAGGGTTACAGACGGTAGCTACTCAATATTTACAAAGAGCCGAGTTAATATTCTTTATCAAAATGTATTCGAAACAACAATACTGTCCATAAAATATGACAATATTTTACTATTGATTTTATTTTTAGTATGGTTTCTTCAATATTAAAGAGAAAAGAATAATTTCAATACTCCATTTTGATTACTACGATATAGTATTGGTTTTTGTTTTTGTTTTCTTCGTATAAAATCATAGAAGATTGGAACGTTTATCATCCTATTTTGGATAGTTAAACCTTCTAAAAACTAGGTGAATTATATAAAATATGAATTTTCATAGTTTAAAAGATAAATGCATTGAAATCATAACTGAAAATTTGGAAATAATTTATTGTTTATGCCGATCTAAAAATCTAAAAATTCCTTCAACGATATGCCAACTAATCTACGATTATATCAATGTAAATAACGTTGATTTTACTGATGGAAATATTAATATATTCAATGCTGAAATATCAAAATTATTAAGAATTCATCTATGCGAGAAGAAATTATTAAAATTAACAAATTTTTCATTTTTGTCGAATCATCAATTTCAAATGGTTCATTTTACAAATATTACTAATTTTCAATCAATTATCCCTTGTATAAATCCTAAAAATATCATAGAAATCATTATTGAGAATTGTTATATAGATTTTAATGACTATAAACAATTTTTTATCAATATGATATCATTGAAAAAGTTACACTTATGGGATTTTAATTATGGAAATGATGAGTTTTTAAGTAAGATTTGCGATTTAAATCCTCAATTGGAAGAGTTCTATTCATCCGATTGGATTATTAGTGATTATAGTATTGGGAAAAAATTAAAAAACTTACTAGTCTACGTCAATATTACAAAATGGCAACCGAATGAAGAGTTAATAATGGTTAAAGATTTTAAATACTTAAAGAAGGTTGACGTATCAATATCCACTAATGAGAATTATGAAAATGAATATAAATGCATTCTAATTCAAGATGATTTATGGAAAGATCTAGAAGTCTTTATTATAAATAATTATCATCCTAAATTTAATGAATCAATAAGGTAAAATGTTATTAATACTTTTCAAGGTTAAAAAGAAAACGGGGGCCATTGGGCTAACTCGTTCAAAATCCCATTTTCATGGTTGATTTCTTTCTAATGTTAACATAATCCTCCCTTTTCTTTTCTTCTATACCAGAGTTTTCATAAACAATCATAAGAAATTGAGATTTATTGGGTTATTATCGGATAATCCTGTTATCGATAAACGTCCAATAGTATTACGGAATTCAAGCATAACCTTAATTTATAATGAATGTTCTCAGGTAAATGTAATAAAATCGTTCAAGATAAATTCATTTAACTTTTCATATTTTGTTTCTTTCTCTGAAGGATGCAGAATACTTGAATATGAATTATTTATATTCAATAATTGAATATATAGTTAATCATATTAGGGTCTTTTTTTACGATTGTTTATCGAAAGTTGTGGAAGAAATGTTGACGAAAGAAATGTCGGATAATACCGATTTAAATCTATTTTATAAGGTAAGTAGAACAAATATGGCGGATAATACGACGAAATATACACATCAACAACATTCTAACGTTTAGATCATATTTCGAATAATGGACAACTATCCTCTCGTTGAAAAGGGTAACGAAAGAGAGGATTATACGCTATTCCACTATATGCAATGCTTTCTTATATTAGACTTCTTTAGAGAATATAATAGACTAGAATTTTTTAAATATGATTCATATTTCTGCGATCAAGAAAGGAAATTTGACGATTATTCAAGTAAATGTTGCCGTTATAACGAATGGATGGCTTATCAATTTAAACAGTGTTCATGCTATTATACAGACGGTTCAATTGTCGCTAATCAAAGCGTAAAAAGATTTCAAAACTTTTACGATAAAAAGATATTTTCATTAATTTAAAATTGATTTATTTATAATAAACATAGATATTTACTCATAGATTTACCATATTTAAGAATATCATCTGCATAGTTTTCATTACATTTACGATTTTCTAAATCATTTAGAACGAGATAAAAACTACCATTCTCCGTTCCATCCTTTAATTGAATAAGGAAAGAAACAATAGATTAAAAAAAACAAAACTATTATTGAATTCTATTTACGTAAATGATATCAGTTTCGGGAGTATCCCTTTTAAAACCTAATTTTAACGTATGTATAGTAACCATTGCTTTGGAAATATCACGAAAAATAGTCATTATACTAATAATAGAAAAGTGTTTACAATCTTTCAATAACAGTTTTTTCATAGTAGAATCAGATTTAAGAAATATTCCATCGTAATTCCAGTTTTGCATAAATTTAAAGTCTAGTTTTTTAAGGGTTTAATAAAAAAAAAGCACAATTCAAAACAATTGAATATTATACATTCTCTAAATTCCACAATTTCTTTTTCGATTAATAAATTCGCTCTTTGTTGAATGAAAAATATATTGTTAAAAGTGTTGAAATAACGTTATTAATATGATATTATTACAGTTCGCTCTTTCTTCCCAGTTGAATTTCTTTATATTTATTAACGAAATCGAAAAATTTCGTTGTACAATAGATTACGGGATTAAATAATGAATTTAATGGCATAACTACTATAACAATCCAAGGATAAACTCTCTCGTCCAGCAATACTTTTTCGCTTATTGCAAAAAAACCTAAACGAAATTAATAAACTGTAAAAACAAAAGGTTTTTATTCAAAGTCTTAGATTATAGTTAACCTAAAATTGATATTGGCAGAAAGCATATTGTATTTGTTAATACAATAAATAGACTTGTTCTTACTATATTCACAATTCTCCTTCGAAAAAGTACTTTATTTATCTTCCTTGATTTTAAAATATGTTTAATAATTCCGAAATAGAAGAATACTATTAATAATATTTCAAATATCATAAAAGGACTAAAAGTTGCAAAAGAAAATTGCCATCCGCCAGTCTTCTCTGTAGTTATATGAAGTGAGAAACAAACAGCCGATCTTGAATAATATTCCTTTCAAAGAAAATAACCATAAGCTTTATTATTATACTTTATTTATGAAATTTATTCCAACCTCAAATAAGAAAGGTGGTAGAAGAGATAGAAAGAGAGAAAAAGAGAGGAATATAAGCAATGTGATAACATAGTAAGTTAGCTTAAAAAAATATTTTTTATACAATAATGAATGACAAATTGCAAAATATCGTTCGGCGGTTATCAGTAGTAAACAAAAATTTGAATACGTTATCGACATATTCGCTAATACGCCGCAAAATGTACACAAAGCGCTATATCTCCAATTGGAATCGTACTCCATATAGACACCTCTGTAATATAAATCAGCTCCAGCAATTATAACCAAATAGATGTTTAAAATAAAATCCGAAATGTGAAGGCAAAGATATAAAATACTCAAGTTTTTAAAGTTTTTCAACTGAAGAATAATTGCTGTTGTATTACCTAATGATCCAAAAAAGATAATTATCCAGATAACAACTCTTAGATACCAAAATCCAATTAAATCGGAACAAACTTTAATAACAGACGAATCTGGTACGCATTCAATCATTTTGAATTTATATTTCTTTGTCATACAACACAATTGAAAACTTTCCGAGTATAACGTTTGTAAAGAATTCAGATTACTCAACAACTGCAACGACAATACTTTTGGTAATTTTGTCTTATTTAGATGAAGATTTTCCAGATTTCTTAAATGTTCAAGCGAATTTCCATCAAAGTATTCAATGGACAAATCAGAAATTTTCATTGTAATTAAACGTTTCAACGTGGAGAATGAACTCTGTTCAATTCTCTTTAATAAACTATTTGAAATGTCCAAGTAGGTCAAATTGTTTAAATGTTCAAAGAATTCGGTGGGCAGTGAAGAGAAAGGATTGCTGCTCAAATCCAAATATTGAACGTTTCTCATCTGTAAACTAGCCTCATTTAACGGCAATTTGTCTATTCTGTTTCTCCTTAGGATCAGAATAATCATATTGTTTCTTCCGAGACGAGGAAATTCATCTATTTCGCTATTTTCGATAGAAAGTTCAACCAGCTTATCCATCTTTCGAATGTTGAATGCAGTTTTGAACGGCATAAACTTTAAGGAAAGTCTCTTCACTTCGTATTGAAATGTGAGATTGATCTGTTTCAATTGTAAACTATTTACGCATTGAACTTGAATTATTGAATGGCAATTGCAAGTTGGAGGACAACTAAACGACGTTGAATCTATACAATGAGCTTCGTCGTTTCCCTGATCGCAGTCAATGATTCCATCGCATACTCTACTTAAATTTAAAAAGTTTCGCTGATTTTTACATTTGAATGAAGATGGAGGACCAAAGTTTTCTGTTCCGATAGAAAATCCAATAAATACACGTTACTTTATCAATTAATTACATTATATTCTTTATACATACTACAAGCATCTTCGTCATCTCCATAATGGCATTGTATGATACCGTCGCAGACGTGTTTTAAAGGGAGACAGTAGTTTTTACCTTTGCATTGATATTCACCAAACTGACAGACCATATCTTCGCATTGAAGCAACTCAGTGAATGGAAAAGCTGCTCTAGTTTGAAGTTTTCCAAATGAGTTATATTTAATACGACAATAGGTTTCACTGGCGTTTTTAGTAAAATTGTATGCTTTATAGATATCTTTTATTCGAATATGATTTTTCTCGAGCCAATTGTCCTTATTTCTATTAGGGAAGAAACGTTAAAATCTCTCATTGATCACCGTGTAAATTACTGAAAAGAGAAATATAAATTTATACAAGGAAAGTATTGTTGAACGACATTGTTCTGTTTGTTCGTCTTTTATTGATGAATATGTACAATCCGGTTTCAAATCACAAATTTGATCCTTTTTAAGGCAAATTTGTTCACAATAGTAAGTGCTACACCACTCTTGAAAAAGAAGAGTAAATATAATCTCTTACTTTATTATTTATATAGAAATAAATATGAGTTAGTTCGTACGTTCA